CACACATATAGTTGATTATCCAACGTTTCAAACTTGGCCGGAGGGTGGTTCTCTGGTTCACGTCCTCAAACAGTATGGCATGATTGCTCAAGAGGTACCAACACTGTTCTGTCACATGACTTGTTCTGGTTCAATCCTCCACTAATATGTGTTTAAATGGCGTGTAATGCTGTTGTGGTACTAAGTTGTGGACGGAATCCCCGCTGATGTTTGGCCACTGGATAGCTTCCTCTAATGCTGGGGAGGAGTAAAGCCTCAAGAGTCTTAGCTACTGGCGACAAAAGCGAAATCGGCCTGTACAACTGGCCTTTATGAATGCCACTCAGACCTGCCTGATAGGCTTCCAGATCTAGAGGTTCTCTCTTATAGCGTTGGACCTCCCTCTCTAGATCGTGTGTGTGCTTCCCGACACGCTTGGATGGGGAAGTTGTATCCACCATATGATGGTTGGGGTGACTCTCACAATAACACCCAAGCAGGTACTGCAACGACCTTGTGGGCTTCCTTTCCTGGCTTCAGAAGCGGGCCACCCGGCGACGTCGAACTCTTCGCTTCGCCTTGTCGCTATCGGGGTGCTCTACAAATTGTCGGTTAAAATACTCAGCGCACCTCTTCGGATCAGCCACCGTTACGTCGTTGAAAGTGACTGAGGTCCTATCATCCTTTTTCCAGTGTTCGAGACCGACTTAATCGTTACCCACAGCTTACTCAAATCGGTTCCAATGTTGCAACACTTCGGATGGTCTAGCGACTTTATCCTCTTATACTCCTGTACCAACCGGTTGACTTGCACTGTAAAATCACTAATTCTAGGATCAGTAGGGTTGGTACGACGGAGATAATCACGAGTGTTTGCTAATCCCGCTGCCTCTACTGGGAAGTTTTGTCTTATCTCTGGTATTCGAGCAGCAGGTGTATAGCGGAAAATCTTTTCTGCTACCCGAACATCAGAAGGGTTGGGCAGTTCTCTGAAGCGGCGGTTGGTGAATTTTCTGAAGTCTGGCCAGTGAGCTTTCCCATTGTTTAGGAAAGTGCTGCGTTCAGAGGTTATGAAGTCGGGCGATCTGCTTATGGAGACGATTATCGGGAGATGGTCTAAGCCAAGAGAAATGACGGGTTGCTAAGTCACATTTATCAGATTTATGGTTAAATCTGGCTAACTGTGACACTCTCCTCTTATTCGGTGGGGGCGTTAACCGTGCAGTACCAGTACCAGGCGGTTATTGCCAGAAACAATGGACTAATATCTGGCAAATAACGCGGTTCACAGCGAATATAATGTTTATATAAACGGCGGGATGTACACAGTAAGCACCTCTACCTCGGCAGTTCCACACTTGACTGCTAGCCCCATACATTCCATGTATGGGTCACTAGAGACTAGCTCAAGCGAAATAGGTCTGTACCATGGTAGAAGAATTTAGGTAGATGCATTAACGCTTGAGAACATTGATATGTCAAAATTTTTAAAGCGTTTTGTCAAAAATAAGTAGGCTTTTATATGTTTTCTTATACGACGCAAATCGGAGGTTGTATTTTTTAACAATAGGTGTGTCTAGTTACTTTTCCTGCAGGAATTGTCCAGCAACATCTTTCTGAGAGAGTAAGGTAGTTTTATTCTCTTTTGCAAGAAAAATGCGAAAAGTAAACAGACGGTATTAATGCAGAAGCTTGCAACTAATCAGCTGATTTGTCAAAACAAACCAATTTGTCCCCCCATTTAAATTAAAAGAAAGAAAGCACCGCCAATTTTAAAAGTTTTATAAATAAAAAGGAAATTAGCAATGAAATAAAAATATGAGCAATAAAAGAAAGATAGATTTGCTAATTCCAAAAAAAAAAAAATATTTTCAAATTGAAAGCAAAAAAAAAAAAAAATAAACAAACAATAGAAAACATCTGATTGAATGTCGATGAATGAGTAGAAGAAGACTTGCAAGTGATTGCAAGAAAAAATTTGTCCAGCAAGAATTTGCAAACTCTCACTGAAAGAACTGTCAAAATTTCTCTCTCCAACCGCTTTTGCAGAACTTTTTGGTTAAAAGACGACTTCCAGTAAAAATTTGTAACATTTGTAAAAATTTAATGGTAACCAGACACACCTAATTTTTATAAATTTCAATAATTTTTTATTCAAAATTTTAAATTCCAAAATCGGTTTGATATTTCGTTGTTCTTATACAATGGTGTATACAATGGATTTATGAATATAGATTTTGACAATAATATGTCAAATGTATAAATTTGAAAAAAAAACTAAACATATAATTGCATGACTTATGCCATGTTTATGTTTGAACTTTTTGTAGGGTTAACCTACTTTGAGAGGATTTATTTGAAGTAAAAGTAATGGAAATGACAATTTAAATCCAAATCCAGTGGGTTAACCCTCATATATATAAACGTACTGTTACCTTCTTAGTTATAGTTATGTATACCTCATAAAAAAAAAAAAACAAAATGTCACCAATAGACGATGGAAACCCTCTCCGGCAATCTCAAATCTTTAACAAAACAAGTAAAGAAACATTAAGTTCGGCCGGGCTGAACTTTTAAAACCGTTACCGTCATATGGGGACTTGGGGACTGGTCTGACGACAAGTCAAACGAGGGTACCACGGACATTTATTCCCTCTTAATATTCTTTGTTACCCCAAAGTCAATTAAGTCAGGATTTTGTTGGGTGAGTCATTTCCCAAAGTGTCAGAATATACGTATTGTATATATTGTGGGAATTGGGAGCAGTAAATCAACCGTTTTATTATTAAATTGTGAGTTTTGTGATAGATGGCCTCAACTAACAGATAGCTATTTTAGTTTGCAATAAGTTCTGGTATGCCCGGTATGGTTGGTCTTTCCGCTTTTTTTTTTTTTTTTTTTTTTTTTTGGGTTCTTCTGCTTTTACTTCGCGATTGCAACCAAATCTAAGCTTATAAATTGGATGTATTTGTCCACTTTTCTTTAATCGCGATTATACCAATTTTAGTTCTACTTTAAATATATGTTGCGAAACTTTATTTTTATCAAAAAAGTTTGTTTCGAATCCCTCCGTTGCGAGAACATCCCCTTTATGACCTCTCAAAATTTCAATTTAACCAATCTAAAAATGAAATATTAAAATTCATGTCGATTGAAATTCTTTCGTTTCCGCATCCAGAATATGAGCCTTTCACGTTTTCATGCGTGTCTTTATACCTACTAAAGGCCTGCACAAGACGAATTGTATGAATTATGCTTTTTTTGACACACTGACTTTGTCTATTCAATCATGTGATATGTATTTGATAGACATAAACAACCAACAACATCCCCCATTTTGATTCATGTGTGCCATTGTCTAAGGTTCGATCGCGGCATGGCTGACTCGAATATTTGCATGGTGTTCTCCATAAATGCAGGGTGTCGACGATGACATCGAACCACGTCATCGTCAAATTGTGTGTCATTTGTGTATGTTAATATTCGCCAAGAAATACTTTATTACAAAAAATGTATTTTTTACATATCGGAAAAACAGGTAGCGATTGCGCTTTGCCTTCATCGTCTCGTCGTCTTTTTCGTTGGCAATTGTTTCATTATTGTTGTAATTTTTGTTCTAGAACATCTTTGTATGACACACTCGGCCCAATTACGGTTGTCGCATCAATAGTCGTCGTCGACTTTATGTGCAAGTCGCCCTCGCCGTCGCTTCGATTCAAAAATGGTATAACGGTAAGTCATAGAAGCGACATCGACAGTTTAAAATAAAAGTTGTCAACAACAATTAAAAAAATTTTGGCAACACTCCCTTGTTATTGACAAAAAAGATAAGAAATTTGTTTGTATTTTGAATTCTAATTTTGTCTCTTTCGGAAAAAATATTGTGAAAAAATGAATATTATAAATGAGTTACATATCTTAAGTTCAAGTGAGGAGGAAAAGGAGAATGTGTTAGCAGTGGCAGCAAACAAACATATTTGCATTGCCTTACTCTTGATTGTGTTGTTCCAAAAGTTTATACTGCTCTTTCAAGAGTTCAATAGTTTCTTCTTTCCTTGATGACTTTTTTCTGGGCGATAGAGAAGCTTCAATAATAGTTACATCAGTCTCCTCATTAGTTTTTCGTATTTTCTATTCCAAGTGCACGACCTGGCGGATTCAGTAACTTTTGAAACTGCATTACATTCGCGACAGACTCCTCCCAAGGCGACAAAGTCATTTGCTTAAAAATGCCACCTCCAGTACTGCTGGCTTCGCCCTTATTGTGCAGAATTAGTTTTTTAGTTTTAAATTTTAAATCTTTCTAAACCTAAAAGAATTTAAGAAAACTAATTAATAAAAATAATTTTTAATTTTAACATACTTTTCTCTAATCGGAGGCCCGTTTACATTTAATTTTGTAGCAATGGATTCCCAATCTGATTTAAAATTTGCTGGAACATAACCTTTCGTAAACCCGTTTGCCAAGCATGTTTTTTCGGTAACAAAAATTTTAAATTGCTGTTGTTATTTTCATGGTCAAATATCAAATACAAAATGGTTACAATATCAACGTCGACCAAAAAATACAATGTCGTCACAAATTTTTACGGCGACAGATATTCTCAAATATCGGCTTCACGTCGACTGTTGTATCGACAATGATAATGGCAACTATTTGTCGCAATCGACAAAAAACGAGAACCCTAATATATTATTATTGTTGTCGCCTCGACAACAATAATATTATTGTCGCCTCGACTTCATTTTGCGACGACGACGATAACAGTAATAGGGCCGACTATTCAACATCCCCTTTTATTGGTCATTACATGTTATGACGATGGGTTTGAGTCTGACCGACATGACGAGACATCAAGCATTTGGTTGGATGTCACGTACTGTTATGCGTTTGATCAAACAGGGCACAACATAACGAGCGTTTTCTCTCCATGGCATAAATAGAGAAATATGTCACACTTGCAGCCCTTTAATACCTACCGAAGTTAGTTCGTGTCCAAACAAATATCACCATCAAAATATAGAGGGAATAAATTTATTTTTATTGAATACATTGAAATGCATACATGAGTTTTGTTTTTATTTTTGATTGGTTTCCTTATAATTTTTGTTTTGTTTTGGATTTTACGTTTGTTAAATAATAAATAAGATACAGTATACGTAAGATTAAATTTAATAGCAGCATTTGTTTTCTCGTGCACTTATCGGGGTTCTTTATATTATATAAGCAATATAAATAACTATTATTCTCCTTTCATCGTCGTATATAATTTTAATTATTAAACCTTACAATTTTATATTTATTTAAGCGTTAAATAAATGTTGCTGTGTAAATGTATGTGTGTGTGTGTTGTTTTATGGTGTTTTTGTATTTGTTTTGTTGACCTACCTAGTTTACTTTTTCTTTAAAGTAAAGAATGACCTACGCTTTGGTTCGTCCTTTTGCGATGTGGCTGGTAGTGTCTGTGATCTACTCTCTGCAACAGCTGCCGAATCACTTTGGGCCTTCAAAGCTGAGACCCATTGTGACATTTCATTGTCATCATGGGCTTGCAATAAGAATTCGCCACCATTTGAAAGTCTAATGAAGAATGGTTTGTTAATGCTTTATCAAGTTGAAATGGACTTATTAACATTGACTCACTTGACTCTTAAAACATGCTTCTTCTTTGTGTAGTCGCTGGCAATTTCAACTGAGGCTCCTTGCAAGTCATACACCGGTTCTCCGCGGAAAGTTAATTCAGGATTACTTTTGTAACCCTTTTGTTCTTTGAAGAAGGAAAGACGTCCACTCTTTGCAACTGTATATACCTGTAATTAAATTGAAAAATGGACGTTATTATAGATATTCTGCTTACAGAGGCCGTTTCTAAATACATACCTTGTCCCAAGATCTGTTTGATGCCTTCTTTGTGGTGGACTCCCATTCGTGTTTTCTTGTCAGATAGCCTTCATGAGCTTCACCACTAGCGACAGCTGCTCGTTCTGTAAATATTTACATTATTAGTAAAGCACTGAGACGATCAATAATTAATTAATTTTAAAATGTGTACTAATAACAACAATAGCATAGAGGATGTAAACAGTTCACTTGTTAGTGTTGTTTAATACCTGTTTGTGTTTCAGCAGTGCGCTCAACTTCGGCTGCAGTATCGACTACAGCTAATGTTCCATGAAGCATTAATAAAATGTAAAATGTATATGAGTAATGCTATAAAGTAAAATATCACAACAGTACTCAACGCAAAAAGTTATGTCGGAAGGCGAAAAAAAAATTAAACATAATAAATTTCCTAATCTAGCGGGAATTGTACATCGATGTCGTAATCGTATTGATGTCAGGCAAGTTTCTTTAGTGGATCCAATTCCAAAAGTAAAATGTGTTTAACTTTAAATATTTGAACGCGCGACGTATTTTGGCTTATAATTTCACAAATGACATGTGTTTAATTTTCTTTCTGAAATGCATACAGCATTTGCTTCTTACAAGTACTCCATAATTATTATCATGGTAGATTTCAACAGAACTGGCTAACTGGAAGGGCATGTAATGTCTCCAAAAAGATTTGGCCGGTGAACACCGAAAGGAGATCAAGGTCACTCATATCCCTGAGAAACTGGACTTGAAGCTTGTGGTGGGCCTAATTACAGGACACTGCAACATAAAGGCCAAGAAATCCAAATTTGAGGGGGAGGGGGGTGTGACGACACTGAATACTGCAAGCTTTGTCAGGACGAGGAGGAAACTGAGACGGTGGAGCACTTACTCTGCCACTGCCAAACTCTTATAGGAGTGAGACAGAGGCTACTGGGTAAGCAAATTCTGCCAGACTTGTCCTCCCCCTCCGATATCGAACCAGCAGTCATTCTTCAGTTAGCCAGAAAAATAAAATGGCTAAGGACGACACGTCGCTTCTTCACTATTCGTTATTCATTTCCTTCTCTTCTCTTTATTCTATTCTCCTATCTTCTTAAATTAGGATAAACACAGTGGACCAATGGGTCTCCGAGTGGAGTGGTTGTTTATACAACCGTGCATCATTTAACCCAACCTAACCTACCACTTCAATACCATAAAACGGTAAAAACTCTTCCATTCGATATTTACATAGAAACGTCTAAATATCGAACGTTAGACTAAAATGAGCATGCAAGAATTCTTCACGTTTTCTAATTTAAAATAGAATCAGTTTCACTTTTGTAACGACACCAAAATTATATGTTATACCTATACGGAAAGTATTAACTTCTTTGTTGTACGTTATATCGTAAGTATACGTTTTGGTAATACAGTGAAGAGTTTAACCACGGTATAATTATAAATGTACCTTGATTACGTATGTATGCTCGTATGGTAGATGTTTGTCTTTTTTCTCGAAAATTTCAATTTCTTAATTTGTCGTGATTTTTAGCTCATTTTAAAAACAAGTAAGTCTGCCGGGCCGAACTTTTAACACCCTCCACTATTAAGTAAAGATAATATTTTTATATATAAGTAACGGGATTCAGACTTGTTTTACTTTGAATTAGAAATGGCAGTAAGATCGTTTGGATAATGCGGTTAAACTTAAAAAAAATAAAACAATAAAGTGGGTGGAGCTGTTATATGGGGGCCATACCAAAACGGGAACCTAAATAGACAATTTAAATACAAGGATTGTTAACTATTCCGAGTCTTAAATACCAAAATTGAAAACATTTCCTGATAATTGTGGCTAAGGATATCAAAATAACAAATATCGGTGAGTACCGTTATATGTGCTAGAATCCATTTTGAACTACAAACAGCAATTTTTAGACAAACCCATGAAAAAATGTGGCTAAAACAAATCAAAATACCGAATATCGAGATGTGCCGTTATATGGGAACTGTATCGTGATTTCATCGGACGTCGTTGAATTAACTTAGAATTTTATGCTTATAATGATTTTATATACTTTATGGGGTCTACGACAAATATTTTGATATGTTACAAACGGAATGACGAATCTAATATACCCTCCTTTGGAAGGGCATAAAAATGGAAAATATTAAATTTATTGGAACATTATACACAATTTGGTAGAAATCAGACTAGCCTCATGGCTTGGACAAAAAAACAAAAAAAAAATCAGCCCGAATAGAAATGCAAATTTATAGCCATAATTTACAACATTCTATCGAAAATATTTATTATTGTCATAAGACTTGTCATCCCATTTACTTCTCGCACTCTTTTCAAATTGTTTAAAATTGCAAAACAATTTTAAATAAACAAGATAATGGGACACAAAGTTATACTTTTCGGATTGCCTAACTTAACGATTACAAATGCCAACGTTAGCAGAAGTAAAATCTTCGAATATGAAAAAAACTATAGTGTGCACAATTTTGCAGAGAATTCTTAAAAACAATTACGCACACTAAAATCAGCAATTGATACTTTTAACAAAAACTGTAAAAATCACATACAGATTCACTAATCAATACATAACTTACCGGCTGCTTCTTCGGATGCCGCCACATCGACAACATCACGTTTTTCGGCTTCACGTTTTGCTTGTTCCGCCGCTTCCGCTGCCGCTTTAGCCTCCATTTCTTCCTTAATGCGTTGTCGCTCTGCCTCTTCAGCCAATTCTTGGCGTCTCTTCATTTCTTTAAGCTCAAACTACAGCAGATAAATAAATGTGAGTTAGTTATGCCTTGAGACGCAAAGCTTGATTTATAAACTTACTGTTGTTAAACGCTCAAGTGCACTGAAACGCTCCTCCTGGGCTGCAGCGGACTTTTCAAATGCTTCATGTTTCTTGATGAGATTTTCAACTTCATCAATGGTATGTCCAAGCTCTGATGACAATAGATATGGTTCTTGGGCTATCAACCAAGCTTCGGCAACGGCAGCATCTCTGGCAAATTGATACACTTCGAGAACTGCAAATAAATATATATGTTTGTTAAATTGTGTTTTGGTGGTTGCAACTGAGACAGCCAATCGGTTCACAGAATACTTACTTAGTTGTAAATTCTCCCAGCGTTCTTCCCATCTTCTTAGCAACGCGTTTCGACTGTTATTCAATTGCAAAAGTCTGTCTTTAATATCGGCCGATGCGTAATGGTTACGAGTCAGCAATTCTTTGCCCAGTGATATACATGCTGAGAAATTGTCTTCGCGTGTGTCGATTTCCGCCTTTAAGCTCTGGTGATTGTTCATAAGAAGCTCGACCCCTGAAACGTCGCGTGGTTTTTCAGAGGTGTTCATCTGTCTAACCAAATCTTCCATCCAGATCATTAGAATCCGTACCATGTTAAAGAAGCGGAACAAATCACCGGTGTCGGCCAATTTCTGTTTACGTGCATCGCACATGGCCTGAAGATTCGCCCATGCATGCAACACCTCCATTTCGCGATTTGTGATTTCCTTAGCCTTGTCGCCAGCATATGAATCTTGTAATTTTGCCGATTCTTCTTGTATTTGTTGTACTTGGGCGTATAGAGTCGTCAGATCCTGCATGAAATTGTAGTGCTTACGTTGTAGGGCCGAAACTGAACCGGCATCGCGACCCAATTCATCCGACACACCGTGTTGTTTCTCGATAATGCGGCTAAGAACATCTTTGCAATCGTGGAAGAATTTGTGCAACTCGCGGGAAGCGGCAAGCATTTGTGTGCGCGTTTCGATTAGTTCCAAAAGGTCTTGCCAGGACTCGTTGAGATTGTCCTTCCATTCTGCGATTGTGGCGGAATCCGAATGACCAGCTTGGATCAGGTTATCGGCAATGCTGTTCACCTTGGCGACACGTTCGCCACCCACGGATTCTGTGTCGCGAGCAAATTCACTGAATCGTTCAGACAACAGCGTGACATGATCATAATCCTGACCCAACTCTTGGGATCCAGCCACAACTTCGCGATCGGCAATCCATTGTTCCAAATCGTCTACCTCACGATTGAGCATGAACAATTGCAGGGCTTCGTTTAGGCGAGCACGTCTTTCTCCAGCTAAGTCCTTGAGTCCAGCGTACAATTTGTCCAATTGTGACTGTTTTACGGCAACTGCGTCGACACTCGACACATCGTCGATATTGAATTGGCTAGCCACTTCGCCCAACTGGCGAATTGTGTTGGCATAATCTTCAATGGATTGTTCCAGGTTTTCGTGCTTCTTCATGAGGTTCTGGGCACTGACTTCATCCTTGCCACGATCCTCAACCATCATGTACAATTCCTGTTCGCTCATCCACGATTCAGCTTCTTGGGCGTCAAAGAAGTACTGCTGTATTTTTTCGGATTCCAGGAGATTTTTCTTGCGATTTTCAACGGCATCTTTGAGTTCTTGCCATTTCTGTGTCAAGTCGCTGATTAATGCCTCGAATTTCTTTGCATCCTCGTGACCCTCGTCAATGAGTTTGCGGCCATTGTTGCAGATTGCATTGATACGTGGTTCGTGGTTATCAATTTCAGTGGCCAAGGATTGGTTCTTCTTTTTGAGAACATGTACATTGAAGAGAGAGTTGCCATAGTCGTTGGAATTGGCAACAGGCAGTTTTTCGTTTATCCACAATTTCTCATCCTCGATATCGCGACAAAACTGGAACGCTTCTTTCTTCTTTTCCAATTGTTTTTGTCGTTCGATCAGTGGAGCCTTAATCTTTTCGAACCGATCCAGCACTGCAATCTTTTTGGTCACAATCGGTTCAATCTTTTCTTCGGGCACCGTCTTCTTAAGGTATTCGGTTTGTTTGTCGATTTCTTCGACTTGACGTTCCTTAACGGCCATTTGTGTCTGTATCACGTGTTGCTTCTGCATCAAAATGTTCACAGATGTCAAGTCATTGCCAGTGTCAGCACTAACAATTTGCTTCTCCAATTCGGTAATGTACGAATCGATGTCGTCGCAAGTCTGTTGGACAAGCACTTCGCGATTAGCGTCGAATAACATGGCACCCTTCTCTTTCGTGTGGGTTTCCAGATCTTCAAATTGTTTTGCTAGTTCCTTCAATTTTGGTTCAATAACATCCTTAAATTCTGGCTTTTCTTTGGACAATTCCTCGGCGGCCTTCTCGGCTTCGTAGAGGCGTTCCTTGTTGGCAGCGATTTCAGCTTCGAAGGCCTGATGCCGAGTCCATTTGGAATGAATAGTCTTCGCACTTCTGTATGTCTCATCTTGAGAGGTAACATATTTCTCTTGGACCCATTCTGACAACTCGTCCAAGTCTTGCAAGAATTCGTGAAGTTTGACTTGATTCTTTAACTTCTCGTGCTGTTCCAGAGCTCTTCTGCGGTTATCTTCACGACGGCTGGCAATATTTTCTGCACGTTTTCCGATCTTATCGGCATCAAAGTGTTCCTTCTCAACCAATGTTTCTGCTACTTGCAGAAGAGTGTTGATTTTATCGTCATTGGCATCCATTGTGGTCAGGAATGCCTCATGGCGCTTGAGTTGATTTTCGGCTTGTTCCAAATTGACAGGAGTGTCGTCTTTGCTGAGGAAATGTTCTTGTTGGCTGAGCAAGACCTCGGTCTGACGAGCATCACGGTTGAAAAGCTGTTGATCAAGACTTTGCGATAGCAAGACTTGACGGTTTTCCCACATTTGATGCAATTCCTCCCAACCATCCTTTAGAGCCTTCAAACGTTCACGCAAGAACATATATTGTGGATCATCAGATGTATTCGATTCTGATGTCAATCGTTCTCCATACTCCATCATGTTCTTATAGTCTTCAGTATAATTGTCGATTTCTTCGCGAATTGATTGATGCTGGTTGAGCAACTGTTCAGCCTCTGGCAAAGATGTTGGTGTATCTTCGGAAGCAACGTCGGTTTGTGTCTTGGTCAACCAAGTCTGGAAGTGATCCAAATCTCTCAAGAATCGGTGCAAGTCGCCGGCCTCTTCCAACTTCGAATCACGTTCCTTCAACATCTGTGTCAACTGTTCCCATATAAGTTCGATCTGGGCAATGCGATCGCGAATGATTTGTGCCTCCTCAGGATGGTCGGACTCAATGCTGTCGGCTTCCTTTCCAAGGCTAGAAAGTTTAGCTTGGATTGCTGCCAAATCACGCTCCATGCCACTCAATCGTCGTTGCAATGTCATAACGCCAGTCAAATCCATTTCCAAACTGTCCGTTTCAGTGAGAATACGTTTCTTGTCTTCGATCCAGGAAATAGTTTCGCGACATTCAATGTAGAACGTTTGAACGCCATGAGCGGACTTAAGTTCGTCCATTTTTGCTTCAGCTTTCTCACGCAAGTTCGACCATTCAACGTTAAGGCGGTTTTGACGTTCCAAAATTTCATCAGAGTTCGGATGCTCGACATGCAACAATTGCCTGGCCAATTGGTTGACAACGGCGACGCGGGAAGCGTTTGCATTCATTTCCTTGTCGAATCCTTCGAAGCGATGCTTCATAATTTCAACGTCTTCGATATCTTTTCCGGGTACCATTGTGTCCAGCATCTTGGTCTTTTCCTTGATCCATTGTTCGACACCATCAGCCTCAGACATGAGTTTGTAAAGACTAAGAGCATCCAACAGACGTTGTTTGCGCAACTTTCCTAGCTCGGTAAGCTCCTTGTAACGCGTATCGATAGCTTCCAGACGTTTGTCAACGTTAGCCTTCTCCGTTTCATTGAGTTTAAGAGTTTCAGCCTGTTTGTGAAGAGCATCGATTACTTCAGCGTAGTTCTTCAGCTCATCCGCAACATCTTTGTGTTTCTTAAGTAGCGACTGAACATTTGCTTCGTCACGACCAACATCTTCGCTAGAGACAATACGCAATGTGTCCAACATCCAGTTGTCTACGTCATCTGCATCTGCGAACAACTGGAAGTATTCGACAGCATTCTCCAGGCGTTGACGTCTGTATTTTGTCAAATCAAGAAGATGATCCCATTTTGAAAGGATTTCCTTAAGTCGATCCTTAATTCTATCGGCCCCAAAGTGACCTTCGGTAATAAGTTCGGCGCCAACCTTGGCAACATTCTGCAGTTGAGGGTCATGAGAAGTAATCTCGGACTCTAAGGCTTTATGTTTGCTGAGCAACAAGTTAACAGTTGTCAAGTCATGACCAATGTCGTCAGTTGAAACTATCTGTTCCTTCTCCTTAATCCAGTTCTCTTCGTCGGCAGTATCCCAATAGAATTGCCACAATTTACGACTCTCTTCCAAACGACTACGACGTTCGACGGCCAATCGCACTAGCTCAGCGTATGCGTCCTCCAACTGTTGAACACGGCTTACTATGATCTCAGGATCACATGGCTTATATGATTCTGGGTCATCACTGAGGAATTTCTGCGAATTTTGTACCACAACTTTGACGCGTTCGCCCAAAATATTTATATCGGCTTCTACCAAAGAATGCTTTTGCAAAAGATCTTCAACGCCCATCAAATGTTTGCCGTAGTCATCAGTCAATAACAATTGCTTGATTTCTTCCATGTTGTCGAGGATATACAGCATTTCCTGGAAGTTCTGTTGTAATTGAAGTGAGATCTCCAAACGCGTACGACGAGCACGCAAGAGCTCCAACAAATAGTTCCAAAGGCGCATCACATTCTCCTTGCGCAATAGAATGCGTTTCACATCATGATATCGTTCCGACTCTAATTCATCGCATACAGCAACTACGGCTTGAACACGTTCCTCGTAGGCGAATATGTCAGTTTCAATGGCCTCATGTTTCTTGGCGGCTGCCTCCACCGCAGCCAAATCAAAACCGAAGTTATCTTGGCTAACCAAACGCTGATTCTCCGACAACCAGGTCTCGCGCATCGATGCTTTGCGATCAAAGCGGGCTGCCAATTGCTCTAACTTCTCTTGACGTATCAACTCTTCGCGCAAAGCTAGTTCGCGTTCGTGTTCGGCCTTTTCCAAACGCTCCCAGGCTTTATTGATGTCCGAGATCATTTTACCCTCCTTTGGAGTGTATGGCTTCTGGTTATTAGCCCTCATTTTCGATTGCAACGTAAATAGGAGTACCTCTAAATTACCCTTCTCAACAAATTTGGGTGGTTTTTCTATTGTACGATAATTGGAGAACTGCGCCAATTGTCCTTGAACGCCAACTAAGGAATTCTCAAAGACGCGTTCACCCAATGCCTGGATAGTTGTTTCAATCCATTTCAGCAAATCGCTTGTGAAATGTTCATAGTCATGAATCATTTTATCATTTTCCATAGCTATGCCAACCACTTTACCAATACGCTTGCCTTGTACAGTCTCCTGCTTAAGCTTGCTGAAGTAGTGGTAGTAGGTGACAACATAAGTTATGATCGATTTCTCATCAGGATGCTCTACAAATACGTCTTCGGCATCTAAAAGTTTAGCCAAACCAAGCTTATCTTCGGCCACATCGAAGGCGTTGTTTAAGTTATGCATTGGATTGGCTTTTGACAATTTTTCAAATTGTACCAAATCAGGACGGTGTTTGTGGATAATGGCGTTAAAAGCAAGGCCATCGCGCCACGATGTTGTAAAGTTGCGAACATTGACATTGTGATATCCTGCTGTTTTCATTTGACACCACAATAGTAAAGCATCCTTGGCTGACTTGGTTTCCTTATTGTCTACTTCCTCAATAGTAATATCTTGGATCTAGACATTAATTAGATGGGAAGAAGAGTAATTAGATGGGAGACATAAAACACAAATGTAGATAAAAACTTCACAGCCGTTACAAATTTGCAAAATGAAAAAACAGTCAAAACTTACTTGGAATCTCAAAATAATGGTCCAAATTAAACCTAAATTTAACGATGCGTTGCCATCGACAATATCGTGGGAACCAATATTTTCCAAATGTACGCGTTGCTCCCTCAGAAATTGCAGAGCTTTGTCTACGTTTTCCAAGCAGTGGATTCTCATTTTTCCCTTTGTAGGCTTCGGCAGCCGTTCGCCGGACAGCACTTCCAGCAACTTTATTAAATGCTTGCCATCTCGCATATCAACGTAAAGGTCTGATATTCTGCAGTTAACCCGGCACAGATGCGAATTTACCCATTTCGTGAAAGTCTTCTTTTGTACGCTTTCGCGTTCTTCGGCCAAGGCCTTAATACGTGAACGTTCGAATAATCTTGAACTGGAGTTGCCACCATCGTATTCATATTCGTCGATGTATTCGTTGCCAGGACCCTGACTAGGGTCCCATCGAACAATTGAAATGTCCGTCGTCATTGCTTTCGCAAGTTAATTTCTGCAATTAGAAGACAAAAATAGGTAGTAGATATCAGCAAAACAACCTTTATCACTTATGTATTAACCAGAATGTTGATACAAATAACTGACATTTAACAACACGTCATTAAAACAATTTGACCATGACATCAACAACTATAAAACAAATGCCTTATGAACGCCGAATATTTTATACAATTAACCAAAGTTAATTAAGTAATCTAATATGTTTATTTGAAAAAAAAAAAAAATTCATCTAACCCACAACCCAGATATTTACAATATGTCGGTATGATATCATTTTAAATGAAAATATTCTAAATTTGCTAAAAAAAATAAGTTATATATGAATTATACCATAGCTGGTGGATAATTTAATTAGTTGTGCCAATAAAAGTCAATGGTACCTCAATTAGAGTCGACAAGGGCGCAAAGTGGACTCCATATGCAAATGTGAGCTTCGTGTGTTTAGTTTCTTAGGCCAACAATATAATTTGTTTGAGTTTTTCGTTTTCGAAATTCTTACAAGATACTTTATGTGAAAATAGGCATACGTTTATTTTCGAATTACCTATGAAATTTAGATCACTTCAAAATTCTATTTTCAAACGAGGGCAGACTGGAGTAGGCGTTGTACAGCAATTTCTCTTATAAATACCAAAAAAAAAAGAATACAAATGATTCATAATATTTACTCAAACAAACAAAATTCCAAGCAAAATGGATATAGGTAATGTGTGAAAATATGAGTTTAACACTCAATTGAAATATTTTTCCAATTGTACATATTTCATAACACACCCGACACAGGTTTCTCAACTATTATCTATAAAAATACAACAGGTACAGCACTATTGACATACCAAAAAATTAGTTGCTACAAGTTAGTAGGTAAGTTCCTTAGTGCCTTTAACTTATCACATCAAATGTGGAATCAGTTAAGAGTCAATAGATAAAACACACCGATTATACAAAAGTACACACACACACACACGCATACCAATTTTATTTTCAACAATGAGAATGAAATACAAACAGGGAATAGAAAACTCAATAAAAAATGTGAATATATACAGGTATAAAAATATACATTAGGGGGGTGGTGTTTATTAGAAAATCTTCCAATTTTTCTCAAATACAGATCGTGGTCAACAACCTTATAAAGCCTTTTTTTAATAATCCACACGCAAACTTTCGACAATACAACACATGTACTTATTTGCTTTATAAAAAGGAAACAATTACAAAAAACCCTCTGTTAAGTGATAAGCACGGACCTATCTAGTAATCTTTTATCATATTTATAAAGAAGTTGGAGTTAGTGTTTCAAAGAAACCATTCGGATGGATATCCGTATCCGTGTATGATCCGCCACATCCAAATCACTTATACCTGAAAAGGGACCTCTTGATTGCCAGTTGTTGATGACAAATGAAGTCACTCCATTAATTATGTTCATCTACTTCAAAGAATTCTGTGAGAATATATATTTGCCAGAAAATAAAACGTCTTTTGTAACAAATACATTCTTTACTAAACATTCACGACAATTCACATTATTATGTTTTAGAAAATGCGGAATGACACAAGATTTATATAATTCGGGTCATTCATTTTTAATCATTGCCTCCATTAATTTAAAAGCGAAGGCGAAAGGTCGAACAAATCATGTTTTGCAAGAAAATTACAAAATTCAAGTAATCAATAAATTAAAAACATCTATCAAACGACATTCAATTTTGCAAAATCAGTTATCTCGTGGATATATTCAATGCAGAATGATTTTTATCTAAAAAAAATAAAAAATACACAAATTGTTATACTGATCTCAGAAAAAAACTGTCATAATTCGCTATAATTTACTGGACTATTCGAGTTATCAATCAATATTCAATAAGATATTGTACAAATTGTTATCAATTATTGAGCTATCAAATTCACCTATTAAATGTGTATTACAACAACTATATATACATATATTATTAGCCAAAAAGCAATAGTGAAAATTGTATGCCATAGATACACTACAAATGCAATGTTATAATAGTAAAATATTATATCATTCCTCTGGGAAAGATCGTGTTAACAGAATAATTGGAAATGAAATGAATTGTTTCCTTTATTAGTCAACCTTTCTTTATAGTTGAAATCAAATAAATTCAATTTGTTTGCTAAATGTGAAAATTAACTTATTTTAGATTCGAAGAGAATTATTCCGCTTAAAATTTTATTCGAATGAAACTTACGTTTTGTCAATGGAAAGAAATCATAACTATGTTAAAATTAATAATTTTTTTTTAAAATATTAAATGTTAAATAGTTTAAATTATTGTTAATTAACAAATAAAATGATTTTGGAGTGTTTACCCACTAATGGGCATATTTTAAAACTAAAATCTTTTAATCGTTTAAAGTTTGCTTCTTTTACTTGAAAGTACCTAAATTTTGTGCACCTTATGTGCCGAATTCTGAGACACTTACCCCACAAACATATAGTTTAATGTTAGCTTTTCTATACAGGTAACTGACTTGTCGTTTTAGAAGAAAGGTCCAATATTTAATCAACACTGAAGAAAATAACTGCTCGAGAGAAATTGCAGTAAGAGTTTAAATTTTTTCATAGTTTTCAATTTTTCGTAGGCAAATTGTAATACATAGTATTAATTCGATGCTTGCGGTCGACGACACATGCGTTTTTACGAATGTTACCGAAATATTTAGAGTGCATAAATTTTCAAAGATACCTAAATTAAAGTTTGGCATAAAGTATAAAACGAAAAACTGGACCTATATAGGATGCATAATTGCGATTGGAGATTCAAAGAGAGACAAATCACAATGGTGCAGAATTACAAAGTTTATTGTCAAAGTCTTCCTTAGCGATCCCTTGTATGGGCCATGATTAAGAAGATTTTTTGTATCGGAATAAAGTACAATTGGAACCCGTTCTATAAATTTTCAATGATATGTACGGCCATACAAACCAATTTACCATAGTGGGGAAGGTGTATATTTTTGTAGAGAAATTTGCCGCTAAAAACATTCAATTGATCTGTTAGCGTGGGCCTCCCCTTTTTAGAAAGCAACTTAATTTGCACCCAAAGAGGGTTCCATCCAGCACTGTTTGTTATTGACTGCAACGTTATGCCACCTGCAATGCAAACTCTCGCTATCTTGTAATGCATATATACTTTATGTACAGCAAGAAGCCAATTGGACTGTCTCTGCTTGCCTGTACTTGCACAAAACATTCATTAATGGGTAGGAAGGAACAAACGTAAAAACATAAAATATCAGCTCTCGTCATCAGATAAATTGTGGGTGGGATAGACGCTTTTGCGACATGATATTTTCATCAGAATTTTGTTTTATTTTTAGTAATGACGAATTTAATTTAGAGAAATTCCAATGAAATATTCCTTTTTCTCAAAGTGAGCTGGCAGAAAAGTATTTACACTGAATACCTGCCTATTGGCATCCGTGACATCTTAATTAGAAAACATATAGGTATGTATTTTGAGTCTAAATTATTAACAAAAAAAGAGACACAACCTTTGACTTGGTCCCCAATTGGTCATTATTATACAGTTTTCCATACATACGTACATATTTATTAACAGACAAACACACAAAACACTACTAATTGCATATCCAATTTAGAACAACATACACAACATATGTACATGCTATCCATGTTTGTTTGTAAAACTTGTGTCAAACACTTAATACTTGTTGGTGTATGTTAGGTTGAATATGGTTTATATTCAACCATAATTGTATGTATACATGTGTGTATGTATCGTTTTCCGCACGTACGTATGAAATCATTGTGAAAAGTTCATGTTGTCTGGTGGCAGGGGTAGCAGACGAAATAGAAGAACAAAAAATGAGCTCATTCGCACTCAGCAAACTGAATACTCTTCGATACATTACGGTCGTTTGTGGTGGTTGGGTAGTACTTTTGAATGTGTGTCCGTGTGTATTGTATCGTATCACTGGCGGTGGCGACGACGACGAAGACCACGACGAATATACACACAAAAGAGAATCAACAAAGAGCTAACTGGTAAAATGGAACAAAATAAAAAACTTGAATACTACATGCAACTCTTATCTATTACGTAATTTTTCTCATTCTTTCTTCTTGCGCTTAAAACATAGCTTAAGCATCACACACACACACTCCCAATCAAATGTATTTCGATTGTCTGGTTGTTCTACTGGATGGATGACACAAACAAATATCAATGAATTCATCACCATTGCTGACATACAAACAGTGGATTGCGTGAGGAGAAGTAAAACCAAAAATAATATATACCTATATAAACATTTAAAAGGGCAAACAAAATGACGACTAACAGAATTACGTATTCCTGTCACCGCCTTATTTTAGTCTTAATGCTAGAGAGCGAGAGTGGAAACGAAGAGAACAAACAGCAACAACAAAAAAAAAAACATTGGTATTTTGGTGTTTCATTTTAGCAATTCGGATTTGTTTTGATATTCTTTTCGTAATAGACGCCGCTCCTTTCGCCACTGAGGTAATCATGCAAAGACAATCAAGATGTTCATTTGTATATTGACCCAAATTGTAAATGACAACTTATGGCGAATAGTTGAGTTAGGACGAAAACTTGACAAGTTTAATAACAACGATGACGCATATAACTATTATAAAGAGAATTAACGTGACAAATTTCACCTATACTTCCCACTAATAGATATATGTAGGTAGGTTTGGAGTTTGTAAAGAAAAGATGTCTTAAGAACAATTATCGGTTCATATACATGAAAAGATGGATCAAAAAACCTACTCTCAACAACAGATCGTGCATTCACCAGTAACACAGGAAATATTTGTTCGTTCTGAATCTTCTTTACCCATGCAGAGCCACCATAAGTGTTAGTCCAGGGAGCTTCAGAGAGCTTTATTTTTATGATAGATATTTGACTTAACTATAAAGTACATATTAAGAGAGTTTAATGCCCAACTACATATTATGTTAAAGAGAGACTTTTTCATATTTTTAACCCATCAAGTTTCAAACTTAAAAGTAACGCTTAATTATATACACTACGCGCTACTATCAATACACTTGTACTTTATATATTCTATATATTTAATATATGTATATCAATATATACTTTACGATAATGTATGCTTTAGAATGCTACAGATAATTGTGGAAAAAATCACTTTACATATGGCTCTAGCATCATGTGGTAAAGGGCCGCTTATACATAATTATTTCACATTTTTATAGCAAAATTGTCAAACATCAAAGTAACGTCATACTATATATTCAATACTTTACAATAAATATACTTATATTATTTTTTATATAAAACATTTATTTATACATTCAAACTCTGTGGAGCGTCTAGAATATAGCTGAACAAGAAGTTGTTTTAGTATAGTATTATAGTAGTATCTTAGTATTATTTTATATAGAATATAAACTGAGATAGTATATTTTTTTGTCAGCAAATATTTTGTATTTTTTCGAATAACATGGAATTCTAATTCACAATTCACGGCTTCAAAAAAAAAAAAAAAATGAAATTTAATACTCTGCACAAGTCTTGTAGGCATATTGGCATTCTAAAACAAGATAATGCAAACGAGAAATATCACATTTGCAATTTAATTGGTTTTAAATTTTTGGGCGTTGAAGTTCCTAGCAAAAATGATTTTTATACTTATGTGTTGGTGGTATTGTAAGTTTGTGTTGGTGGTATTATAATTTTGTAACACCTCGAAATATTGGTCTCCCGCATAGGAAACTAAGTCGACCTAGCTATGAATGTCCGTCTGTCCATGTTAATTTGTAATCACTTTACAGGTCGCAATTATGCAAGGTGGTGGGTCTAGGGTCAGAGTAGTAGCCTATTGTTGGAAATTGGATATATAGGAGATTATAACATAATATTTTTCCCGATTTTGCAGTTGCTCTACAATTTGCAATCACAGACCAATAGACGCGGAATTTAGTATTAAGACTGGCCAGAAGCCGTCCATTTTCTTTGGTCATCGGATCATATTTAGCGGTTAAGATAGACCATAACTTTTATGCAAAAAATACGAACATTTCCACTAAACCGCTAGTATTTTTAATCCTGGCAAAATCACAAATACACGAAAATGTCCCTTCTGACCGTTCAATTAATGGTCACATACAATATATCGCATATATAGCAAAATTTATACAATCTCATCTCAGAACGGCGGGGCAGATTTCGACAATTCTGACTAATTCGAAATGGACTCTTGCCAGAAAACATAATTTGAAATACAATTACAATTTTGAATTATACATTTTTTATAGTGTTTTTTTTTTACATTCTGCAACACTATGTGTTGAAGGTATTATTATCGTCTGATCCTCACGAAATTTTGCACAGGGGTAGGCTCAAATGAACCACAACTTTCGTGTGAACTTGTTTTGAATACCTAACAACACGAGGGAGAGCGTAAATATTGGCCAAATGACCTTGGTCAAAAGTTTAAGGGTAACATTTGTGCAGGGCTTTATGATATCATTTCAAAAGCGAAATCTTCCAAATTCGATTTTGACATAAGGGGGCTTTCAATATATTGTAATGTTGTAGGATATCACATGGTCGGCCCCGTACGGCTATAGCCTTTGTTTACTTGTTATTAATTATATTATTTATTTCCTTTGCATTTAAAGCCAAATAATGGTGTCAAATTTAAGTATAATTAAAATGAGTCCACCTTATATCAGAGCTTCTTTAAAATACAGTTCCAATGTTTCAAATGGCAAAAGATACATTATTCTTCCCCTCTTTCTATCTATCTCTTTAATAACTTTCTTTCAAGTTTTCCTTTCTTTCAAATGCTAACATATGTATTTATCAACTGGTAGAGATTTCACAGATTATGGTAAATTTAAAACATAACATTTGTAAAACTTTTAGAATCATCAAAATACAGTCAAATTATCTGGAAAAATATTATTTAGAGAATGAAATAAAATAATATTTCCCTTCGAATTCAAATAACTAAAAATTAGTTGGTACGATCCTTAAATTTAAGTCAAAATCAGATGCATAAATTGTAATTCATAGATCGGTAAGATGAACTAAAGTTATAATTCAGTATCAAATATGTAAAATTTTGTATTATTTCGATTACCCAAACATTATAAATGACACGAAATTTTGTGCATATATGTCCATGATGGTGGAAGGATAAAATCACTTATGTGCACACAAATCCGATATCTTAAATATTACTCAGTTCTATACTTTTTACTGTACGAGTTACTTCAATTCCCATAAAAAATCTTCCAAAAATTCCCTTTTCTAACATATTTTATCTCCCCACATACTGAGCGTTCAAATTACTACTGCCGCAGATGAACCCTTGTGTATATGTGTGTGAGTGAAGTTTTTAAATATTTGTTTTATTTTTTTATGATTTTTTTTTTTTTTTTAAAGAAATGAAAAACATTTTTTGATTTTCATTCAACTGAAATACTCGAAATGTATGTGTATCATTAAATCCTTTACTCCTAACATAAAAGACAATTTGTTGATAAATTTTATATTTGATTTTTTACTACAGCTAAAACTAAATTAAAAAAAAAAAAAACAGAAATAATTTCAACTTTTGGAATAGATCTATTTTACTTATTTAGTAAACTTTTTCAGATATTATTAGTTTTTTATCCACAGATTTAACTTTTCCCCTAATTTTGGCTAAGAATTTTTCTAGTTGTCCTTTCTGAAGTGAACTACTTTATAAAACCACGCCAATTTCCAAATCGTTTTATATGTATCAATATCTTTCCCTGATCCAGTTCACTACTTCTATGACATGTTCTCTAATTTTGATATATCCTGGGGCTGACCTAACCTAAGAAACAGTATTATTATTTTCTGTTTCTTAGGTAGAAAGTAGAAATCAAATGTATATATTCTTGAAGCAATTAGGTATCGTACTTAAAATTCTATATGTACCTATAAAAAAGGTTTATTCAAGCTCAAGGTATATTTACAACACATGACGGTGGTAGCGATGCTACCTATTTTTCAAGCAAATAATGAAAAGTATTCCCGAAGTGTTTGCGCGTTTTTTTTTTTTCATCCTGAAATTGAAATTCCTTGAAAGAAGAATTCAAGCTTGGAAAAAATACAGTTATAAAAACCAGATTTTAAATATTTCTAATAGCGTAATTTGAATTTACTATGAATTCAACTGGACTTTTCGTCAACTAAGAGCTCCAAGTCAATAAATGAAGATTAGTAGCATAGCTCAATTTTAACGAAGATCATACACAAATAAAATATAAATTACAAACACACTGTTATCCATTGAAATTTTGTACAATGTACAACCACCACATCAATCTATCATTGACGATGAAAAATAAACACTAAACACGCACACAAAAATAATTTAGAATACTACGCCCAACCCAATGAGCTCAACTTTCTCTAGCTTTTTGTGTTCACTTGTTTTTTCTGGCCTTTACAAGAGCGCACTTGATACTTCATCATACAATCAGTTTAACAGTCATTTCATTAAGATTGTTTTCAGCAAAATTTAGAGCTACTTAATTCATGATGGATTATATAAATATCCTTCAAACTGTCATTATTGCAAATATCGATATCAAATATTTTGTATCTGCTTGTTTTGAATCACCTTTAATGTTAATTCACACACTTTCTTTCCTCTATTTCTTACTCTCTGTAACTGATGGTTATTCTCGCTCTCACACTCACTCACTTTACGTTTTAGCACTTGAATTGACGTTTTTTGTTGCCACTTAGAAAATTTTCATATATTCTCACTGTTTTTGTATTTATTTGTTTGTTGTGGTTGTTGGTGTTAATTTTACCAATAAATAAGGTAAAATTAAATTTTTCACTCGAAGCACATTTTGATGGGGCAAACGGGCAGTATTTTAATAAAGAAGATATAAAAACACACACGACCGCACGCACGACGGCAATGATGATGTTCTCTCCGTCTGTAGGTTAATGCGGCAAGTAAGCAGAAAGCAAGCTAAAACAATCAGACAACTTACCAACCAAGATTTGTTGTTTTGCTCGTCGTGCGGTGCGAGTAAGAGTGAGCGAACGAATTGAATAGACCGAATAAAATGATGTCATCAACACAGTAATGAAACGAAAAAGAGTGTATTTTCTGAGCGAGAAGTAGAGGAAAACAGCAGAACTCATTGTATAGATAAATCAATCGATGGCAATGTACATACTTATATATATGTATGAATGGATGTTGCTTTCAAGTTACGATCCAGATTCATTTTCATCATATTCAAAACATTTTTTTACTTGGTTTGTATCCCTTTTCTCGCCACTTTTATTCAAATAGATGCAATGGTTTACATTATTGGATCAAGCGTTTTTAGGCTGTCTATCACTTTATAGGGCGTTGTCAGTCTTGCCTAATATTTTTAATTTATTGTTATTTGCACTTCCTACTTCCACAAAAATGAAAAACTATTGCTCTTCTCGCAACTTACCGCCGTTTCGTATGTTGATATTCAGTAAAATATTATTAAGCACAAATCGTTATGTCCACAAATGTTGAATATTCTTTGATGTTTGCACACAATTTTCTCATTTAGCACTCAAATATATAAAAATAAAAACCTTTCTTCTAATGTTTAAACATTCACAACATTCATTCAACGACAACGACAGAACTAACTTTGAAAAACTTGAAAAATTATGTGTGTATACCAGAAAACTCGGCCGACAATTTCGAGACAGCACACGGCGTCAAAACAACGCAAGACATGGGATTCTTCGTTGGTATCGGTGTTGCCAGCATTATATATTTAGTTTTGGTGCTTAAAGGGTAAATATATAAAAGTATGTTTACATACAATCATGGTAGAAGATGCACCAAAGCTTGAGATCATTGATATGTTAAAAATTGTTCAACATTTCTTCGATAATAGATTTGTTTATGTTTTCCAATACGCCGCCTCTATATGCACCTTTAACAAAGGTACGGTACAAAGGTAAAGGATTTGTTTTAACAATTTTTACAAATTTCAATAACTTTTCACTCAAAAATTTTAATTTCAAAATTGGTTTCACAGAAATGTCCATGCGACTACCTGTATTCTTCTACTATGCATACAATACTTTATGCAGGATGCTTGAATAATCACAAAAACACACGTTATATATTTTTGAGATTGGTCAATTATCACGGTATTACAGCTAAAGATTTTTTGTGTAAGCTCGCTATAAGGTAAAAATATGTAAATACAAATCTTTATCTGGATTAACCCTGATTACTAATCAATAGCAGTAAATTTGTCTAAGGGTGCAAGTACATAAGAAGCTTGAAGTCATGAGAACTCATGACTCCTGTGGACCATTTACATGAGGAGACGAAGTTTTTCCCTTAACAATATGCTTTCGTTGCAATACCTGCTTGGGTGTTATCGTGGGAGTCATCCTAACCACCATATTGCTAGGAACACAATTGGAGCGAACGACGAATTTCGCCCTACGCGGCGACAAAATGAGCCGCGAAAATTCGTCGTATGGAACACAATACCGACGAAATTATAAAACAGCTGATGAAGTTGTTTACTTTTTGCTCATTTGTTGACTACAATGAATTATACAAGAACACATAATTCTTTACGTTCTCTATTATAATTTCACTTATGTCCATCTTCTCTATTATAAATTCACTGATATCCATCTTCACTCAGGCGCAAGTACACAAATAAATAAACAAATTAATTATGTTTTTTTTATACGAGTAACAGATAGTAGAGTGACCATAACAAATTTTAAAGTAAAAAGTAACTTTATTTACTAAAACACATAAAATTCGTACAAGTATGGCCACCTTGTACTGTTTTGTTCGCCGGTCGCCGGCGTATGAAATAGAAATAAAGCTAATTGAGTTCGCGGCGACCGACGAAATTTTCGCCGGTGCCGTGATTGTGTGCACTTCCATATACACATATGTGTTTTATTTTTGACGACGAACATACGCCGCGAAAAAATTCGTCGTTCGCTCCAATTGTGTTCCTAGCATATGGTGGACAGAACTCCCCCACCCAGAAGAAGTCAGCCGATGATTTAAGACACTCAAAAAAGTCAAAAGCTACCCCGAGCTCATTTTTCAATATTTGCGAATGGAAAATTGTAATATGTTCAGCTCACGAGCCATTTTTCGGTCACTGCGACGCGGGTTTCTATCAAGTTGCTGTTTTCTTCCGTCCACTTACTTGACAACGGGCTACCCTACCAGTATCGCGGTAACGAGCGATGGAACGAGACTCAAATGATTTATTCACATTTAAATGCTGGAGTGCTCTAACGTTAGAGCCACTTGTGGTTTTGCAGCCAAATATAAAGAAACTACACTATTTTCTGGAAAATTCTCACCAAAATGCTTTGGTACACTTATAAACAATATAATGTGCTGTCATTGGAATAATTTTAACAGCTGTCGGACGAGTTTCTTGGGAATGACAGCAGTCTGAATTTGGTTACAGTTTTTTCATCTCACCCTGTACCAATGAATTAAAGCGAAAAATGGATTTGAAGAAACGTGGAGTAGGATTGGACGACTTTTTAACACTTCTCTTTACAACTTCGACGCATTGAGGCTTCTACACAAAATTGGAACCCCGAGCACATCAATAAGTACATTTCAAGTATAACACGTGTTATATTTTGTTACATTTTATTTATTTTTTAATTTTTCTCATGCATTACGTTCGATTTTGACGTTCGTGCGTTTAAGGGATCATGCATATTCTCATTTTTGAGTTATTTTAAAGCTAATGGGTGTAAAAAGATGTCAATTACTACGAAAAACATTTTTATTGATTTGTTGAAAGTTTACCGGTCGTTGGCAGAAGTTTTGGGATGTTAAATGTGCAGAATATACAGGGTTGTCCATATTCGACGGACCCATCTGGCAACGCCATAACTTTTGACAGAGATGTCACATCGCTTAATGACATACCGCGTTTGAAGCGTCAGTCCAACCAGATTTTTACCTGAACCAATACACGCCACGCGAAATAGTTGAAATTTACATTCAACAGAAGAAGTCGATATGAAGTATTGATGTCGAAATACCGTGAACAAATCCCAAATGCCGAGAAGAAAGACTTGGCAAAAAAATAAATACAAACTCTTTGTGAAAGAACTGTCAAAACTGTTCTCTCAAATCGACTTCTTTTGCAGATCTTTTGTGTTAACAGACGACCTCCATTACATCTTTGCCCTTGGTCTTTGCCATCAACCATGGTAGAATAATACAGGTAACAGCTAGTGTTGCTGTACAACAATCGTAACAACAACCACATACAAATTTGTACGTAATACAAGTGTCAGAGTTATGTGTCCAAAAATGTAAACAAAATTATTAATTTTCAATAATTTATTTAAATTTAAAAAATATACATTTTTGGAATTTGGATTATTAAATTGAAAATGCAGAAGAATATATCTTTATTATTTAATTTTAATGCTTTCACATCATTCCCCTGAATGTATAGTTGTTAGCTGTTGGTCCTAATCTCTCAACACTTCAACCAATCGATAGAAAATCGTGGTAAAGGCAACATCCCTTTCAAGTTGAAACCAAACAGCATACATACATAAGTTATTCTACATTGGAAAAAGTGGACTATAAAGGAAAGATATAAGAACGGGCCATAGGCCGGTTATTACATCTTGCCGATAGATAAAAAATGATGTTGTCGGACACATAAATCGTTTTTCGTTATTACAAATTTCATTTTAGTTTCAACTGTCAGACCATCTTCCCTTTATCTTTTAACGTAAAGTTTACTGAATTCATATTGCCATATTTTATATTGATAATATGGCTATAACAGCAACATTTATTTAAATAAAAATGGATAACGCAAATAGTTTATTTTATATTGAAGAACTGAATTATAAATTTATTTCACGAAATTAATTACAAATTCAAAATTTTATTACAAATTTTTATTTAATATTTTTAAACTAAAATGAAGATGACATTGTGAAAAAAATGCAGTGACTTTTACAAAAAGGTTGCTATTTCTCTGTAAAAAATGCATATATTCTAAAGAAAAGATGTAATAATGAGAACCCGATAATGTGAACTTCATCTTCCAATTTTTCTAAAGTGAGGGATATCAAAAGTGGACTATAAAGGAAAGATATAAGAACGGGCCTTAGAAGTATAAAGATAGAACAAGTCAGAGTCAATATATTAACACCTCTGTTGTTATGATATCATAACAACATAATAACCAATGTTAAACTGTTTTGACAGCAAATGCATTTTTTAATTAATTGAAAACGTCAATAAATATAATGTTAAGCCCAAATTTTTGCTTTGCAGAAAGTGTTATCGTAAAACTGTTCTGTAATTACGTTTTTTATGCCAACATGTCTCTTTTATAATTTTTGGTGAATGCAAACAAATACCTAAAATGGTAAAGACTAGACAAAATAAATTCTGAACAAATTGATTGTGGCTACACTATCTAAAATAACAGCTCATAACAGAGATATAGAAAAGAATGACAAATAAAAGTTTGAATAATACAAAAATTTGGTTTCAAAATTCTATTCCATAGACCCGGTTATTTGCATATTGCCTTAGCGATTTAAATCACTTAACATTGGTAACTATGTTATTAAAAGATCATAACTACAGAGGTATTTACATCTGGTGACAATATTTTGACTCTGTGTTTTCCTATCTTTACACTTTTATGTCTTTGTTGAATGTCGATATTTGTAGGATTTCGTTGTTAACGTGAGAATACATGAAACGTATGAAATGCGGCTGGCTTCTTGGAAAAAGAAAAAGGAGCTTTGGGTTGATATAGTTCAATTTCGGTCCATAATTTATACTCTTTAACCCTACGCTCATTTGTTTTCTAGGTGAAATCTAGTTAGTAAAGGTGAGAGCACATTCAACGCTTTTTTTGTGATTTAATTCCATTTCTCGATATACAATAGGTATACCCTTTTTGATATAAAATTTCACTGCAGAGCAATGTGAACATACTTTTTGCCTAATAATAGAAAAAATCGCCGTTGTACTTAACAAAACCCCAATGGTGATGGTTCAGAAACTTTTTTGCCGTTAAGGAACAGCGACACCACGTTAGATAATATATTCGTATATTTCATGTTTCCTAAAATTGCAAAATGTAGAATACTTAATGTATGTATGCTGTTTGGTTTTAACTTGAAAGGGATGTTGACTTTTCCGCGATTTTCTAGCGATTGCTTGATGTGTTGAAAGATTAGGACCAAAAATAAAAAAGTTTCTTTCAAAAAGCCATACACAAGCCGAGGCAATGGTGGATGATATGGGTAACAAGATGGAAACAATAGAAGAGACTTTAGGGCTTCTGATGAGTACACACTTCCCGCCGAGCATCACAACACACCTGGATATATCGGAAGATAGAAGGATTGCGACTGAGGAAACACCTAAAATTGATGAATCGATGGTAAAGGAAGCCATCAGAAGATTCAAACCGTTTAAGGCAGCGGGACCAAGTATGGTCCCTTATTTCGTCCAACTTAGCCGGAATTTTCAACGCGTACCTAAAGTTTGCGTATATCCCTAAAACCTGGCAGGAATCGAGGGTAGTTTTTATACCCAAACCTGGGAAGGCAAGCTACGCAATACACAAGTCTTATCGACCGATAAGTCTAACATCGTTCTTACTCAAAACCATGGAACGTACAATCGACATCATGATTAAGAGCGGAATTGCAAACGATATGCTTAAATACAAACAAATTCAGTTGAAACCGCATTACATGAGGTTGTACACCACATCATGGTAGATGCATTAACGCTTGAGAACATTGACATGTCAAAATTTTTTAAATATTTCTGCAAAAATAAGTACATTTGTCTATGTTTCACCACACAACGCCAATCGGAGGTTGTTATAATATGCATTTTTTAATAATTTTTATAAATTTGAGTAATTTTTCATTCAAAAATTTCGATTCCAAAACTTGTTTGACAATTTATTGTCCCAGCAGCTGTGTCGAAGCGTCTACCTATATTCTTCTACCATGACACCACATCGAGAGCACCTTCGATAGGAAGGTGTATACACTAGCAGTATGCATTGACATCGAAGGTGCGTTCAACAACGTCAGCACAGATTCACTCATCCAATCCTTAGATAATTTTCAGGCCGACCGGGCCCTAAGGGACTGGATGAACCACATGCTAAGGAATATATGGATAAGCTGTGGGCTATATGACGTTAACATAAGGAACAAAGTTGGCCAAGGAACTCCACAGGGAGGGATATTATCATCCCTCCTGTGGGTTACCACCAATAACAGTCTTCTAAGGACTTTAACCAATGAAGGCTTTGAACCAGTCTGTTATGCAGACGACGTGATAATACTTCTGAGGGAAAAGAACCCTAACTTGCGGTGCAGAAGGACCGAGTCGGCTCTGAAACTTGCATACAACTGGGCCAGACCGAGAGGTCTTAACGTTAACCCGAAAAAAAAAACTGAGACATGTCTTTGCACTAGGAAAAGAAATACCAATTAAGGCATTAGAGACAATTCTATTTGTGCACCCAATAGAAGTTTAGATACGGTATGAAGCGGCCTTAAGGCTTAGGGCGACGGACGAGTGGATAAACAAAGGTCACGCTACATACCATCAAACATTTTTACAGGTAACAACGGGAGAATCTGTAGAAAATTTTGTATCGGACCGGATATCTGAAACATTTGTAGCTGCCTCATGTAAAACATTAATCCTTACCGAAGACTCTTGGATCGAAGGATTCCTACCATAAATGCCGACTGGGAACTGTTGTTATACAGACGGCTCAGTGCTAGCGGAGAGAAGGGGACTGGGACTTTTTATCGAGGATACAAAAGCCGAAGTCTCTTTCCGCTTGCCCGATCACAATACGATCCTGCGATTGCAGAGTGTCTGAACTGGCTTAATGCCAACACGAGACCGGCTACCGTAAACGTCCCAACGGACAGCAAGACAGCTATAAGGGCTATGACATCCAAAACAGTGACTTCAGTAACTGTTTTGGAATGTAGAAATTCAATCAACAACTACTCTCAAAACGGCGTAGTACGCATTATATGGGTACCAGGTCATACGGGAGTTAGGGGTAACGAGATAGCAAACTCTCTCGCCAAAACAGGCAGGGAATTAGCAACAATAAACGTAGACAATCCAGTGCCGCTAAATGCGTCACGTCTAGTGTTAAAGACATGGGCAAAAAACGCCCACATATCCCTATGGAACAATGAGGGTGTAGGGAAAACCACAAAAATCTTATGGGGCTATCCCGATGAGATGAAAACGACGGACCTTTTATTACTAGGTAAAAAAGAGATCAGTGAGGTAACAGGCATCCTTACGGGGCACCTGGGCCTACAAGCTCATCTGTACAAGATAGGATGTGCAGAAAACAGCATATGCAGAGCATGTGGGGAAGATGACGAAACATTGGAACATTTCCTCTGTCAATGCCCAGCGTTTGCAAATATCAGATCCCAATTCTTAGGGAACGATATAAGACAGTTAAGAAATTTCATAAAGGCAACTGAATCTCAAATATAACAGACTGTAAACTGCCCACCTTCTTCAAAAACCCTTAGTCTAGAGCCCACAACAGGCCTATACTGGCTTCTTAAGTGTGTGTCCAACAGGGCATGCGGCGAATTGCTTCGCCCCTCTTTTCAAACCAACCTAACCTGTATTACCTACAAAAACAAATTTGTATGTTTGTTACGATTGTTGTACAACAACACTTGCTGTTACTTGTATTATTCTACCATGGGTTGTATTCAAAATTGTATCATTTATGAGGCAGTTGTACGAAGTTGTGTCTCTGTTGTATAAAAATCAATATTTTTTATGCCTGCCACACACGATACAACTAGTTGTACAACTTGGAGGTTACTCAAATTGTGTGTTTCGGTCACAAACTATAGACCTTTGTGTACAACCTCTTTGTACTTCACTTTTCGTAGAGTTTATTTGAGTTAAGATGACACCGGAAAAAATGCATGCTCTATAATTGACTCAATAGCTTATATTTATAATCAATGTTTGTAATATATTTTGTATTTCGTATTGTTTTAATGTGCGAAACAATGGTGTTGGCTCTTCAAAAATAAACACAAAATGAAATTGTATGCAACATGCCCACAAACGTTACAATCGGTTGGTACAAAATGCCATATATTAAAAAATTTAGATTTTTTGTACAACCGATACACAAATTCGTACAACCGGGCCACAAACGGTACAAGTTGTGCAACCAATTGTATCGTGTGTGGCTTGCAAACAATTTCATTTTATGTTTAATAAATAAGATAAATAATAGCATGTTTCCATTGAAAACCGAACAACGTTGTTCGCTCTCAGAATAAGGTACACGAATTGACCCGTTCATACGGCACGATTCGTAATTCATAGTAAAATGATTCCTTTTTTCAAAAATTTTGTTCGTTGATTTTAATGACAATTTATACGAAAATATATGAAATTCTCACTAATATGAATATAATAGATTGTTGTTTTTCTCCCAAAGATTTATTATATCATTAATTTTACAATTTTCATTCTCGTTTTCAACTTTTTGTGTAAATGTTGACATTTTGAACATATTTTTGTATTTTTCTTTTTTTTAATTCTGCTGGAGAGACACTTGTCAAACATTTTTCTGCCGATACAAAGATTTTGAAAATATTGTTCCATTTGTTTGCAGGTTTCTGTGGAAATTTCAACTCGTGGACAAAATGCGTACCTTGAATGAGAGGGAAAACAAAATGTACTTTCGTTTGAATGTACATACGCCATTCAACATTGTAGTTTTCATTCATAATTTTCGGTCTTCCCAAAATGTTTTAAAATTTCATTAAATTTTTCTATTTTTAATTTTTAAATGTCGTAATTTATTTTTTCGATAAATGCTCTCATTTGTTAGGGGTGGCACATATTTTTTCGTTGTTCTGAGAGTGATTTGATTTGAACAATATACAAATATGAGTGTTCGCTCAGGAAATTTTGTGTGAAGAATTAGTTTTTTTTTCATAGTTAAGGGTCAAACAACGAATAGAGAGCGAATCAAGTGCAGTGGAAACGCCACATAAGAGCTATTGAGTCAATTATAGAGCATGAAATTATTTCCGGTGTCATCAGAAATCAAACTGTTCGAAAAACGGAGCTGTACAAGAGGTTGTACCATGGGTTGTACACAATGTATGCATAAGTTTTTTAATGCAGTAATTCTTGATAGTCGCCGTCGATTAACGTTGTGAGTGCAAACCGACGAAAAGATTCCTTAGCTTCGTTGTCTGGACAAACATATGGAAAGCATTTATATTTATTGGTTTTGTTTATAAACCTATAACCTATATAAGATAGAAATATTTTAGTTGTTTTAGTGTGTACTCAGTTTAATATTCATAACGGCGTCAAAATTACGACCTAAAGCCGGCCGATTTCTTCCTCGAGTTGAAGGAACTTACTCCCGCGGTTCATGTAATGAATCTATCCAGCGGTTCGATTTCCTCATGTCTCATTCGTAAACAACAGAGGTCCCTCGGGGATTTTGCTGTCTCGTTCTTTTTTATCGGGCATTTCTTTTTGATTTCTTATTTGTTTCGATTCGATTTGCTCAAGCAGTTCAGTGAATTGGTTGAATTGGACACATTTTGTTTTATAAACCCATATTTCTGTAATTATTAAAATGCAGGATGTCACAGCACGAGTATTTGCTGCAATGCAAAATCTGGACATAACAGCTTTGAGTACATACCCCCAGAATGAGATACGGCCCGTCTTGCCGGCTCTTGTCCGTATGAGCCTACTCTCTCCTCTGGACAACACAAAATCGTCAATGGAATCACGTAAACAAATTTTAGCTGTTCTCATTGGCATTGAGGTGGTAAACAGCATTGTTTCGTATCTGCAAGTAAATTACCACGAGCTAGAGCAGGAACTTAAGAAGGAATTGCAGGCACGTCAAAAATCCATGTATTACGAGGGACAGCAAGAATTCGGCCTGCAAACCGGCATAGCTCTGGGTTTTGAACGAGCCGATGTGACACGCAAAGTAAGGGTGGTACTGTCCGAGATATTCAATGTCCAATGGCAGTTATCAGAACAAAAGTCGGTGGTGCAATCAGAAATTTTAGACGATGGAATATACCTGGAAGAAGTTGTTGATATACTGTGCATTGCTTTGGCCGAGCTGCCCTCCTTACTGAACATTTTAGAATTGACAGATACGCTTGTACAAGTTCCGAATGGACATCGCATAATTTGTGCGTTGGTGGCTAACTTTCCAGACTGCTATCGCGATGTCGTGACACATGTAATTGTCAATTGCGATGAAGAATCAATTGAGGGGAAACAGAAGTTAGCACTTCTAATGGCACTGAGTGAAATAAATCCCATACAAGCCTTGACAACGAGAGCAATATGTGTTGAAATTATGAAAGTACCCTCGTTTATGCTCAAGTTGTGCCTAAAGTATCCTCAAGACTTGGTTAGTATTCTTCTTGTTTTTGAATCTAGAGCATGTGTTTTACATTAAGAGTAAAATTATTTGCAGATTTCTTTTCTGACCGGAATGCTTTTAGGAAATGATCAAAATGTTAGGACGTGGTTCGCTGAGTACATACACGTGAGTCAGAAGCGCAAGGCGGATGCATTAATTATGGTACGAGCAGAGTTGTTACAGCAATTAGTGAGCATAATACAGATGGCCAACCGTAGCTCGGACGCCACAGCCTGCAACGAGGAAGACTATACAGTCCAAGGTGCAGTTATTATGCGACTGTATTGTGCTCTGCGAGGAATTGCTGGCCTAAAGTAAGTTTTCTCTCCTCAGAGCTTGATGTATGTCATGGTATATTGTGCATTGCATATACTTTCAGATTTAATGACGATGAAATAAACTCTCTTGCTCAGCTGGTAACAAGTCGGCCGCTGCCTACTGCTTCTGGCATGCGCTTTGTTTCATTGGCTCTGTGCATCTTGATTGCATGTCCGTCACTGGTATCAACTACATCTCTGGAAAATAAGGCAATTGAGTGGCTACAGTGGCTGATAAAAGAAGACGTCTTCTTTGGCCGACGATCTGATGCCAGTACTTCATTGGGCGAAATGTTACTTTTACTCGCTATCCACTTCCATAGCAATCAAATATCAGCTATTGGGGAATTGGTGTGTTCTACGTTGGCTATGAAAATCCCGATTCGGCCGAATAGTACAAATCGAATTAAGCAAGTTTTTACTCAGGATTTATTTACCGAACAGGTAGTGGCATCACATGCAGTTCGGGTGCCGGTCACACCTAAGTTAAATGCCAGCATTCCAGGCTATCTTCCTGTGCACTGTATTCATCAATTACTGAAGTCCAGGGCCTTCTTAAAGCACAAAGTTCCCATAAAATCGTGGATATACAAGCAAATATGCAACTCTGTTCGGCCGTTACATCCAGTGATGCCAGCCTTGATTGAGGTTTATGTTAATACCTTAATAGTACCCAACCCCCAGGGAAAGGTTAACGTCGATCATATGCACAAGTCGTTTTCTGAAAACGAGATCTTGCACATCTTCCGGTCGAGCGGAGATGGTACAAATATGATTGGGGATATAATTTCTGTCCCTCGAACGGGAGTTCTTTCTTCTAATGTATCCTCGGTCGACAGTGAGGATTTGTCGAAATACCAAGTTCAATGTCCATTGACGGCACAACTGTTGATGCTCTACTATTTGGTACTGTATGAGGAAACGCGCATAACTAATTTATCCAACGCGGCCATAAGTGGGCGTAAATTAAAGGAATATACAAATAGTTTTCTTTCCGAATTGCCAATGAAGTATTTGTTGCAAAAAGCACAACAGTATCACAACGATTACATTGGCATTTTCCATCCACTTTTGAGACTGATTGTATCGAACTATCCGCATCTTAGTATGGTTGATGACTGGCTGGAAGAGCATTGCAGTCATTCTAATAGTCAACGCGTTGTTCGTTCTCCGTCTAATTTGAGTATGCAGCTGCAGGAGTCTCTAAAAAAAATTAATTTCGATAAACTCGATACAGAGCCGGGCAAAGCTATACCCGTTTTAAAGGCATTAATGAAACTACCAGCAGAAGAACTTGCACAAAATGCAGACGTAATTGTACGAAATTTGCCCAAAGTATTTAGACGACAAGTTCCACGTTCGATTAAGAACCTTTACCTCGACATTTGGCTGCGTTTGAATGGGGTTTTGCCCATAAGTTTTTGGCGTAAGTCGTTAGCTTCGATTATGGCTACTGAAGATTACATACAACGCTGCTCATTCGTTATGGAAAATATATTGGACCCACTGCAGGTTTTACGATGTGGTCGTGAAGTATTTCACTGTCCGCATACATTAATTATATTGCTGCGCATTCTGCAGGGCAGTCTGGCGGCATCAAAGGCTCATCTCAATATTCAAATGCAATCAAGGCAAATAATCGACAAAAACGGCCAGGTCCAGGTCGATACAGAGAGGGAGGAATTGAAAACTGCTCTTATTGCTTCCCAAGAAAGTGCAGCCGTTCATATTTTACTGGAAGTTTTGGCTGACATGCATGCTAATAACTCCGGCCGTGTTTCGTCGCTTGAACTTCGTGAAACCCAGGGCATAATATGCTCCTTTATTCATCAATCATTCATATCAGAACCTTCACTCGCTAAACTTGTCCATTTCCAAACATATCCGCGTGAAGTAATACCCATGATGGTGAAGGGAGTCCCGTCCATGCACATATGTCTGGATTTCTTACATGAGTTTCTGAGCATGCCCGAAATGGACAAGCAAATTTTTACAATAGATCTAACATCACATTTGGTTTTAAAGTATGCCATACCGAAGAGCTTAAGTGTTTCAAAGTTTTGTGTCAACACGATCCAATCTGCACTCTCACTGCTATCCACTGAAGCCAAATGTAAATATCTTCGAAACATCCTGCCATCTATAATACGATTTGCAGAGGCGTTTCCAATATTAACGGACGACTGTGTCAACATCTTAATGCTTACGGGACGCAGTCTCTACGCTCAAAGCACCCTTGGTATAAATTCAACTCAAATGCAATTAACAGCAAGTTCTAGACATAGATGTTTCAAGGAAGCACGACGATATATAGCAATGATAGAAGAAGCTTTTGAAACTCTAATATCAAACATAATCAATAAAATAGAATTATATTAAGTGTCGATGTTTGTAATATTTTTGAAATCTGTAACATTCGATTCAGAAATGTACTTTAGAATAATTCAACTGACATTTTTAAATACATTTCAGATTTAATATTTTTAGTATGTTTATCTATTTATCTAATGATCCCAATACCAATACTAATAATTCCAGGGGCTAAATTCTAAATTCTTGTTGTTCTATGAAAATGTGAAATGAAAACGTATATTTGTATAGTATTTTATAAAGAACTAGCTGGCCCGATCCGCGAAGTCGGCCCTAGATTTAGTGTTTAATTAATACTTTTGAGCCTAACAATTCCAAGATCTGGCTTATATAACTGGCTCAATTTTTATTAAAAAATAATCACTCAACTAAATAGAAATAAAAGATTTTCACCTTCCGGTCGATTTTAAGTAATTTAAAGAAACTGATCTTATTTTTAAGCCATAGGCTTTCATTTGAGAGTTAGAAACCAAATGATATAACACATCTATTTAAAGGTATCTGTGAACCATGACACAATTACAGAAGGTAGAACAAGCTACTCCCTTAATACAATTCTTTTCTTTTTGAGTCCTTATTCTATCAAAGCATATACACATTTGTATGTGTGTGCATTGTTTTGAATACAAAATACAATAATTTTCTATTATTTCAAATTCTGTTGCAAAATAAATACATATTTTCGACGTTAATGAGCAACTCATTGTACAATTTTGGAATAAAACAATATTGTGGAATAACCCCAAAATTCCATTCTTGTTTCGCGAGTTTCCCCCAATATAAAAATTTTGTTAAAAAAAGAAAAATAAACAAAAACAACTGTTGCATATTTAAAAGTCTATTCGACACCTAAGAGTCCAGTACAGAGTTGCATATTTCTAGTTTCTTTAAAGTTGACCAAACTTTCTTATTCAGCCATCGTCCGCATTGCCTAAATACTTCAGGCCCATATAGTTAAATCTATAAAATAATAACGTTTTAAAAATGTATACTTCATTAAATTTCCACTATTGTAATCATGCTTAAATTAAGAAGGTAAAGTCATTTCAAATAAGCATTTCTTTCTCTGTATTTTCCGTAATTTACCTTGTTAAATTTCACTGTATAAAAACAGGTTCCCATCTCTGATTTATGTGTATACAATGGATTTCTAAATATAATTTTTTACAACGAGAAGTTGTAATCATATGATTGCATGACATTACCTTTTTAATTCTACCGTGATTGTAATGCAAGCCACACACGATAAAACCTTTGGTACAACTTGGTGGGTTGTCAAGTTGTATCATGGCAGAAGAATACAGGTAGATGCATCAACGCTTGAGAGCATTGATATGTCAAAAAATTTTAAATGTTTTTTTCAAATATGATAGAGTACGACGTCATTCGGAGGTTATTATAATTCGAGTTTTTTTTTTTTTAACAATTTTTACAAATTTAAATAATTTTTCATTCAACATTTTCAATTCTAAAATTGGTTTGACATTTCATTGTCCCAGCAGCTGTGTCGATGCGTCTACCTATATTCTTCTACCATGAGTTGTATGCTTCGGCCACAAACGATAAAACTTTGTATGCAAACTCTTTGTGCAACTTCACTTTTAGAAGAGTTAAGATGACACCGGAAATAATTTCGTCCTCTATAATTTAATGAATAGCCTTTATTTATTATTAAGTTTTGAAATTCCGTGTTATATATATTTTTATTTGTTTATATTTTCATTGAAATCACACATTTGATTGGATTTCGTATTGTTTTAATGTGCGAAACAATGGTGTTAGCTCTTCAAAAATAAACACAAAATGAAATTGTATGCAACATGTCTACAAACGATACAATCGGTTGGTACAACATGCCAAATATCAAAAAATTTTGATTTTTGGTACAACCGAGACACAACTTCGTACAACCGGGCCACAAACGATACAATCTTGAATACAACCTCTCCAAGTTGTACAATCAGTGGTATCGTGTGTGGCCTGCATAATATTCTCCAATTTCAAACATTCATTTTGTATTTTCAGCACACAAAAAAAGAAATTGTTCAATTCTCAATGTTTAAAATCTTTGACAGCAAAAGTGGACGTAGTGTACACGAATATTCAAATTTCCCATTGTGGTAAAATGTTTTGTACGTCCGTATTATCTAAATAATAACGTTTTGAAAAATTATACTTTATTAAATTCCCATCATGGTAATATTCATGGTAGAAGAATATAGGAAGAGGCATCGACACCGCTGCTGGGACAATGAACTGTCAAACCAAATTTGGAATTGGAAATATTAAATGAAACATTTAAATTTGTAAAAATTGCTGAAAAACGCTTATTATAATAACCTTCGAATGACGTCGTATAAGAAAACATATAAAAATCTACTTATATTTGAGAAGACATTTAAAAATTTTTAAACATATCAATGTTCCCAAGCGTGGACGCATCTACCCGTATTTTTTTACCATGGGTAATATATTGTGTTTAAATTATATGGTGAAAAACGTCGACTGTACGCTCAACGTATTTGGGTAACTCTCATAAGTTTGTGTGTTTAAAATGTATGGTTTAAAACGACGACCCAGTGCGTCGAATTTTTGGTAACGCTGTTATTTCGAAATATATTAAAAAATATTTTCAGAAACGATGGTTAGAAGAATTAAAGCACCAATATAACAGAACAAAATCTGTTTTGATCATGTTTAATTAATTTTTTAAGTCTTTGTTTAATTTTATCAAATAAGTTATAAGCTCTTTTTGCATTTCGTTTAAATAATTCCAACGAAAAGCTGACATGGCATCTCGATTGTATAATAAATCTTTGGGAGAAAAACAATAATTTCTTCTATTCACATTAGTGAGAATTTCATGTATTTTCGTATAAATTCCCATTAAAATCAACAAACAAATTTTTTGAAAAAAGGAATTATTTTAATATGAATTACGAATCGTGCCGTATAAACGGGTTAATTCGTGTACCTAATTCTGAGAGCGAACAATTTGATTGAAAGTGTAATGAGAACATAGCATTAATCGTAGTATTATGCTAAGTTCACATTGCACGTGATTCCCACACAAAATTTGCTGAACGAACAAAGATTTTTGTTCTTTGTTCCATTCAAATCACTCTCAGAACTAAGATGAAATGTGTGCCATTTCTAACAAATGCGAGCATTTATCGAAAAAATAAATGATGACATTTAAAAATCAAAATAGAATAATTTAATGAAATTTTAAAAAATGTTGGGAAGACTGTAAATTATGAGTGAAAACTGTAATCTTGAATGGCATATGTACATTCAAACGGAAGTAAATTTTGTTTTCTCTCTCATCCGAAGTGCGCATTTTGTCCACGAGTTGAAATTTCCACCGAAAACTGCAAACAATAGAGGCAATGTTTTCAAAATGTTTGTATCGGCAGACAAGCGACAAGAGACACTAGCAGAATTTGAAAATAGAAAAATACAAAAATATGCTCAAAATGTCAACATTTACACAAAAAGATGAAAACATCAATGAAAATAGTAAAATTAATGATATAATAAGTCTTTGGGAGAAAAACAACAATCTATTCTATTCATATTAGTGAGAATTTCATATATTTTCGTATAAATTGTCAAAATTTTTGAAAAATGGAATAATTTTACCATGGTAGAAGAATATAGGTAGATGCATCAACGCTTGGGAACATTGATATTTTAAAAAAATTTTAATGTTTTATGAAAAAATAAACAGTAGGTTTTTAAATGTTTTTATACGTCGAAAATAAGAGGTTACTATATAATGCATGTTTCAAAAATTTTTACAAATTTTAATAATTTTTCATTCAACATTTTCAATTTCAAAATCGGTTTGACAGTTCATTGTCCCAGCAGCTGTGCGACTACCTGCATTCTACGATGCATTTTACTATGAATTACGAATCGTGTCGTATGAACGGGTTAATTCTGAGAGCGAACAACATGATTGAAAGTGCAATGAGAACATAGCATTAATCTATTATACGGTTCCCATATCGTAGATGTTTGTGTGAACCTCACTAGCATTACTGTCATATCGATTGCATTCTCATCAATCGGTGTTGATCTGGTAAATTCAACTATCGCCTGTAGCATCGATTGTGTGCTATCTCTAGTGTATTGTATTTGTTTTCCTTTTGGGCGGTTGTGAGTGATGTCGAGCTCAATTATAAATTAACAAGTATTTTACAATTAATAATAGTTAGAAAAATAATAAACATTTTTGTGCGGTTCATAGTCCAGTAAGTGTTTCTCAAATGATGAAATTGGAATAAAGAAATATTGATGAATGGTGAAAACAAATTTCTGTAATTTGTGTGTGTTGTCTGTCTAATCGGGGTTTAGAGCCGAGTCGAGAGTAAAGTGGTTTTATTGAATGTGTAAGTTTGTCTGGTTAGATGCTGTCGTCTCTGCTACTGCTGCTACTTTTCCAAGTAATATACGATTCACATGCCAAACGAAATACACGAAAGAAACGAAATCAATGAAAGTGCTTTAAATTGGGATTATTCATTTGTTTTTCAAAATCTAAATTAATTATTTTATCATTCGGTGACGAGATAGATGGCCTTTTCCCATTCTCACTTGTTTTTGTATCCAGACATAAATAAAAAAACAGCGAACTTAAATGTGTGCTTCGTTGTGTTAGTGCGCAAGCACAGGAGAAAGAAATGCGACTAGATTTCAATGCAACTACGCCATTATCCATCCCGGATGAAAGAAATGTTACAAGATCTGCGTTTGTTTCAATGAGCAATGTAAGATATTATGATTATGTATTGTGGAGTATTGTGCTGGTGGTCTTTCGTCAAACGAAAAACAGATTCCCGATAATTGTTGTTTGAAAATTCAAATTCAATTTTATATTTAATAACCTATCCCATTCAACATGCTCCTCCAATAAAGATGATTTTTTTTATAAAGATACACATCTCCGAACATTGAAGTAAAACCATTCGCTCTCATTTGTGTTGTATTTGTCTCTTCCCCATATAGATAATAAGAAAAACTACTACAGGTTTTTGATAAAACAAAATAGAAATTATTTTTTACCGAAACCAAGCGACTTGTAATAGTAGCATAATATACTTACATGCATTGGTACATACATACATATGGAATTTACATTGCTTAGGTGGACAATTTCTTAATGTATTGTGTTTTTCCATCCACAATATCTATTCGAATGTGTATCTAATATAATTGTATGTAGGAGTTCGATGTTTTTACAATATATTCCTTTGAAATTCCAAGTGGTGACTAAATAGCAGTATGAAATAGCTCCTGCTTCTTCTAAACTATAATTAAATGAGAAAATGTTGATCTTTTTGGGAAAGAATTGTTGTCAAACTTTTCAAAAATTATGAACATTTCGTGATCAAATATTTCAAAGAGTGAAATCAACAATTGTAATGCTTGGAAACAACGTTTTCCTCTGGCAATTTCTCTAATCGGCTGTCACAACACGTTTTCTAGGAACATACATAGCTGCAAAGCAATTTAATAACTTTTGAGACGGTTACAATCATGGTACAATAAGGAGGTAACTATGCTCGTTCCCTGTCAAATTTGTATGCAAACAATTTGTTTTCATTTATTCAATATTTTCGTAATTTTTAAAATCGGTCAAACAGCGCGAAAAATGCATGAAATGCTTGGATTTTCTTTCGGCGAATAACTTCAATGCGCGTTCCGCAATGTACGCGTCTTCCTATCATTGATTTTGAAAATATTTTGTTTTTATTTTTCAAAACAATAAAAACATACACAAAATTGTCGGGCACACTTAGAAAAAAATTGTAATCAGCTGGTAGCTCTACCTTACCTTTTTATTGTACCATGGTTACAGTATTTTTATTCGTCTCTTCTTCTTTTCCAAAATTATATGAATTACATACCTATAGCTTGCATACAATATGGATTGCTTATTGCCAGTGGATTTAAAATGCCTATTCTATCACATATACGCTCAATAAATCCTTATGAAGGAGTTAACCCATGGTATAATTATTACAGGTAGCAGCAAGTCCCAGCTGATTTGTCTCTATAATAATACTAGTGTCAAGCTCAATATGACGTTTTGTGATTTAATTCCATTTCTTGATATACAATAGGTCTACCATTTTTAAATATAAAATTTCTCTACGGGGCAATGTGAACATTTTTAGGCTTATAATAATAGTAAAATCGCCGTTGTACTTAACACTTTGAAGTTCGAAATGGATACTACAGCCTAAGACAGAAAATTGTCTGTGCAGGTCCACGTCTTCGTATAGCCCCCATACAACGGTACCTCCCGATATTCGGTATGTTAATGATTTTAGCGCCATTATTTAGCGGAATTGTTTCAAATAACGTATTTAAAGTTCGTAATGGAAACTACAGTCTGTGACAGAAAATTGTCTATGCAGGTACAGGTCTTCGTATAGGCCCCATATATCAGTACCTTCCTATATTCGGTAGGTGCAATACCCACCGAAATTTTTTGAGATGTCGTATTTGATGTTCGTAATGGATGCTATAGCCTGTGACAGAAAATTGTCTATGCTGGTCCAGGTCTTCGCACAGCTCCGATATAACGGTGCCTCCCTATATACGATATTTTGATGATTTTAGCTACATTATTCACCGTTTATTTCAAGCTTCGAATTTGAATATGGTAATGGCTTATGACAAACAAGGCCTATGTAGATCCACGTCGTATAGACCCCAATATAACGGCTATATTCGGCATTAAGCAACATATTCGTATATTTCATGTTTCCTAAAATTGCAAAATGTAGAAAACTTTATGTGTATGCAAATTGTATATTGCTTTCAATTTGAAATGGCTGTTACTTTCTCCACGATTTTCTAGCGAATTTTAGAAGTGTTGAGATACTAGGATATACAGCTACAACTGTACATTCAGGCGAATGGTATGAAAGCATTCAAGCTAAATAATTGAGGAACTATTCTTCTGCATTTTAAATTTAATAATCCAAGATCCAAAAATTTATATTTTTGATATAAAAATAATTTATTGAAAATTAATTATTTTGTTTACATTTTTGGACATATAACTCTGACACTTGTACTACGTACAAAAACAAATTTGTATGTGGTTGTTGTTACTCTTGCAGTTACCTGAATTTTTCTACCATGGAGTTAAACAGACAAAAAGATGTAACACCCTTGGTACAATAAAAAGGTAAACATTGGTAAGGTAATTGTTTTCAAAAATAAGAACTAAAAATTGACAAAACAAGTGACGTGAAAGCGGGACGCGCCTCGGAAATATTAATTAGTTCTGTCATGGAATTGTTATATTGAACTGTTTTTGAAAGAAAATTCATTTATTTCATTCATCTTTCGCGCTTTCTCATTCAATATAGAAATGAGGAAAAATATAAAAATGTGGGAATAACTTGTTGCATATAATTTTTGATTTTATTTTCATTCATTTATATTCCGTTCCTCATTTTTATTTCAATATTCATGAGTATAAGAGTAAAATAACTGACTGACTGACTTACTTAAGACGAAATGGCTAAAGCTAAAATCTTGAAATTCTGGGTATTAGAAACTCTTTTAAGTACGAAACTTATTAAAAGGTACTAAATATCGTACCCTTTTTATTTGACAAACCTGTAGAAATAGTTTAGATTGCTCACAACTTATTATAATGTAATGTTTTTGGCCTTAAAGGATTTTATTACATGAATGAATTGAAATAAATAAATAATTTTGGCGTGAGGATCACTGGTTGTAATCAGCTGGTGGATGTACTAAAGAGTTTTTTGAAATTCGCATTTTAAGTGAACGAAAAATACTAAAATGCACTATATTTGGTACTATTTCGTATTATGGGAATGGTTAGAGCTCAACATTTGTTCTGAAATTTGGAAATAAGATTACTATTGCATAGTGGGCTGAGGTATGCAAGTTTTGTTTTGCACTCTTTGTGTAGATGAGTGAAAACTAAACAAAACTGAAATGTATTCTACTGGATGATGCAACATTGGAAACGAAACAATACAGAACTCATCGCAAACGTGTAAAAATTACTATTAAGTTAAATTCATGCCATTCGGTACAAAAAAAAAAAAAAAAAAAAAACAATATTTAGAATGACAATTTTAAATGCACCAGTTATCATTTCGTTCAACAAACGTTTGGGAACTTTTCCTGGTGATTCGTTCGCAAACGATACAGCTCGGCAACTCACAGTGGAAGTACATTAAGACAATGTTTTGTGGTACGAGTACTGTTTTGTTTAGAGAACAAAACGATTGAATTTTTTAAAGTTTGTGCCTTCGTGAGATCTCTACGTGCAAAAAATGTATAGTTAGATTTCTGAATTTTGGTGTTGGGGTCAGAACTGGTGTAGTGCTGTGTTGAGATATGGAGGTGGTTTTGGAAATGTGTACTAAGTGTAACAATTGTACTAAATAGTACTGAAATCGGTACAGTTTGGTTTTGGTTCAACGGATTGATCTGGTAAATTAAAATTTGCTAGCGGGTAGGCCTAAAATAAAGATTCGATATTGGGAACGCGTTCAGGAAGCGTACGAATGGTTCTAAATTTGATAATGCGTTGACAAGTTAGGATTACACGGTTGAGATTTATAGGTGAATTTGGAAATACGTGGTATTTGAGGAAGGGATAGAGCTGCAAATCTGAAATGTGTAGTGAGAGTCTTTGATGTTGTGTAGATAGACAAACTAAAGGGTGTTTTTAAAATTTTATCAATACGTGTACCAAAAGTTTAAATTACACAATTTTTGGTACCATTTGGAAATATGTGAACGGATAGTGGTAAAAACTTGAACGTTGTCAGGAGAATCAATTCTTGGAAATGGTGTTGATGTAAGGAGGTGGGGTTGATGCAAGGGGTGTACTAAATGGTACAAAAGTTGCTATAAGTCGGATAGGGCTTAAAATCTAAAATTGTGCATTAGGGTTAAGGGGAAATCTGTACTAAAAAGTACGAGAAGTACTAAATAGTTCTTAATTTTGCATTTGAGGAAGAAATAGAGATGGAAATATTAAATTTGATATATGGATCGCCTTTTGTGCAGTACTGCTGATATATGGAGGTCGAATTGGAATTAAATGGTTTAAATTTTGGTATTTGGGGAGACATAAAGCTGAAAATAAATGTGTATTGGAATTAGTCATTCAATTATAACTAGATATTAATAAATTGTGTTGCTTTATTTAGTACATTCTATTTGTGGTAAAAAGTTACGTTAGGTTAGGTTAAAGGACGCATGGTTGCCTTTTGGTCACCGATCCAAACGGAGACCTGTTGGTGGTCCATTGTGTTCATCCTAAAAGAAAATTTGAAGAAAGAAGAAAAGTAGAAAAAGAAAAAAGTAATGTATTGGAGCTTTTTAAAAATGTATGTGTGAGGGTGATACACGCCTAGAGATCTTGCCGTGTCGTCTTTAGCCACTTAAATTTTCTGGCTAATTGAAGAATTACTGTAGGGTCAGTGTTGGAGAACGAAGTCAAATCATGTAACACTTTTTCCCCCACCAGCCTGTGTCTCACGTTAATGAGTGCTGGACAGTGACAGAGCAGATGTTCGATCGTCTCAATTTCCTCTTCGTCCTGACATATTCTGCAGTAATCAATGTCATCGCTATCCCATTTCGAGGTCATTGCCCTAACCTTTCAGTTATCTGTGATGGTACCCACCACAAGTTTTAAGTCAGGTTTAGACAATGACAGTAGCGACTTTGTTCTCTTCTCCGAGAGTGTGGGCCTCCTTCCGTCCAGCCATTTTTGTTGAATTCTCTCCGAGTAGTGTTTATGAATAACCTGTAGGAAGTGACATAGGTGTGGTTTAACCGAGTTCTCAACTTCAATGGTAGTCCATTCGGATCATAGCCTAGCCAATTCGTCCGCAGTCTCGGTGAATGGAATATTGCAATGACCAGGAAAGCAAAAGAGCTTGATGGACAACCCAACCCAGTTTTCCAAGGATTTCCTGCAGTATGAAACAACCTGAGACCTCTTGACTATCGACGTATATTGTCACCGGATTGATAACCTCGTTGTTTCTCGTTACCAACAGGTCTATGGCTTTTTTGACCGCAAAACTTTCCGTCTGGAATACGCTACAATCGTTTCTAAGCTTGTAGGCTTCGCCAACATTAAGAATGTCACAGAAGACACCAGCGTACCGTACCGCATTCCATCTTTAAACCGTCGGTATAGACAGCTATGCCGCAGAAAGGTGGATTATTACGGGCCCAGGTGTCCCTATCTGGCATGTGGATGTCAGATGGATCAAAGCACAACCGCGGTGAGATATAATCACTAGTGTTGGTTTCCTCCTCCACATTCCTTCTCGGTGTTCCTCTTCCAGCTTAGTTGGCGGTCGAGGATAGTGCCGAGGTATTTAGCTTCAGAGGAGAGGTTTAGCGTGACTCATCTAGCATCGGTGGTATAAAGGACGGACACTTACGTTTCCTCGTAAAGAGGACGAGCTCCGCCTTTGATGGGTACACGCCTTGTCCATTACGACGTGCCCAGCTTGATAAGATGACTAGAGCTCCTTGCATCAGATCAGAGATAGTTTGTAGGAATTTCCCAGCAATCAACAGGGCAACATCATCAGCATAAGCGAATACCTTTGTGCCAGTTTTCCCTAGATCTAAGAGTAAATGGTTGATAACCAGAATCCATATCAATGGTGGTAGAACACCGCTTGCCCCTGGTGACCGATTTCCTGACAGATATTTCCCCAATGCTTGAGTTGATAATTATGCTACTAAGTACTGTATCAATCCAATTTATGAGGAGATGGGGAACCCTAAGTCTTAACAGGAAATCATAAATGGCTTCTAGTGTGACGTTGTTGAAGGTTCCCTCAATATCAAGGAAAATTGCAAAGGTGAATAAGGAGTCATTCATGTTTCTCTCAATGAACCCTACAACATGTTGTTGCGCTGTTTCAACAGATTTACCCTTAATGTAGGCTGTTGACAGTCGTGGGTTGTAGAGATCTGATTTCCATGTTCTAATGTTTTCAATAGAAAGGATGAGTGACTTGGCTTCCTAGCTTTTGGGATGTAAGTAACCATAACTTCCCTCCACAGTACCGGGAAGTAGGATAGGTATAGGCAAGCTTTGAAAATCTCACCCAGATATTGACGTCGAGACATGTTGAATCATGGGGGGAATAATACCATCTGACACTGGTGATTTAAAAGGCTTGAATGTGTCTATGGCCCACTTAATGTCAGCCGTACTTCCGTAGAAAAAGTCATTGTGCCATTTATAGTACTTTCCATATCCTTCCAAACACCTTACACCAAAACTTACGTACAAAAATTCAATATTGAAGTTACTATAATAATTAGTACGGAAAACCCAGTCTTATCTCTCACCCTCCACCCCTAGGTTTATCCTCAACCAAAATTTCAAGTTTTTATCTTCATTCATTGAACTCAACCTGCCTAGGTGTTACCCTGGAAGCCATATACTTCATTATTTGGTGTCTAAAACGTGTGTGTGTCGAGAAAGTGATGCAGTCACCGATGTAGCGAACCATTAAAGTATGAATTCCGTCCTCTGTGTTCACCCCCATCTATTGCATCACTATAGCAGCATTGTTGTGCACCTAATGCGAATTGATGAAAATGCCGGCAACCTATGTTCAGCATGTGTCGCAGGCTTAATCTACTCAACTTAATCCAGACGATCTTTAACTACAGCCTATCGGAGTTGCCGATTTTATAAATCTGGACGTTGAAACAAAACGAGATTGATAGATTTTAAACTAAGATGATATGTTAGCCCCACGTCAACTACATTACCGAGTAATCGACCAAATTTATTTTTTACAAGGCCGTGCCACCCGACATGAGTAGCAACGTGGTCCGCTGTTCAAAAAGCAGCCGGGCTCATATGATATTCCTTAAATTTTCTGTTTTGCCATGTCAAGACGAAGATCATATGTCTAATGATTTGAAATTTGCAGTGAGAAGGAATTCCCGGGATACACTATTACACACCGACCACAAAGGATGGAGCTCTGGCCGAGTCGAACTCAACGTCATTTTACTCGTTTTTTCTGTCGAGCCGACCTTAATGAACCGCAATTTGCAGTGAAAGGCGAATCACTCAACACATATATACCTTTAACGGATTTCGATACATAACGTTTACTGAAACATACTCCAGATCCAGATGTATCCGTCTGTTCAGCATTATCATTGCGTTTCAATCTGCTAAAGTCCAACATAATCGTTCAATGGTCTCTATATTACTGCTGGAACGTTAGGTCTTACTTCGGGTGCTAAACGATCAGATATATGACGAGCTTCCTTTAGGTCAATGACACTTGTAAATCCACGACAACTTATTTATCCCTATACAACAAACCCTTGTTAGGTTTTTAAATTTTATGAAAAGAAGAAACATCAATAAGAGAGAATCTTCTTTGTACCAATTTGTTATAGTATTCATCCGATATTCACACCTACTCGGTTATACCAGTGACATTTTGAAGAATAAACGAAATTAACACCACTTATTAGGTTTTACACATAAGGTTCCTGTTCTTTTTCGCTGTTGTTAATTGTGTAAAACCTGTCAATCATGGAACAAGGACACATTTGTCTGCTGCTGTTTGAAATGAGAAGGATTTGAAACATTTGGTGGGACAAAGCAAAATTTTCGATTGTGTAAATAGTTTGTAATGACTGACAATGCCCGTTCTAAACTCCTCAATGCCCTGTGCTGTACATCACACTGTGCAACACATGCTCCTCGACCTCAATGGGGTTCAGTAAAAAATCAAAAATTATCAAGATGAATGCGCCGTTGGAGTGAAGGCATATTGTGATAGACATCGAGCTAGTAAATCAGTAATGGTGTGCTTCTGTACATGTTTCGGTTGGTGGCTCAATCTGTTGTTCAGACAAGGTCCGTCGTCGTTAAATAATATTGCTGCTTTACAATTTCCTTTTGCCAACAAAACCACCATCATGTTACTATCTAATTCACGTTAAACGTAACTTCTTCGCAGTGTGGGTGCGTGTGTGCGACATACAACATAATAAGTGAATTGGCATAGCATTTAACAACCAATTTCCTCCCGTATCCTTTTTGCTTTTACATTCTATGACATGTCACTCACACACATACCAACATCTCAATACTCATCCGTTCTCACTATCGTATATACTCTCTCTCTCTCTCATCTGAAATTTGAACTCTTATGCTCTCATTCTCTCAATGTGCTCTTTTACCCAACACCAACCAACCAACCAACTTACTGCCGCTGCTGTCAGTCATGCTCAAAGGAAGTATTTTTTGTCGTTGCAAGTGGACTGTTCGAGGACAGAGCAAGGCAGGAACATCTTTTTCTGTATGTGTACAAAATTTTTATGAAAAGTGATGTTTCATTCAATTCCTACCATGGAAATTATTCAAAACTGTTGAATGTTGTTAAAAACCAGCAAAAATCATTTAAACAAATGAAAATAACAATAATAACGGTGAAGTAAGTTCTAATATGGCTTCATTGCTGCATTCACTTATTTTGTAAAGAGTGTGTGGTATGTAAAATTGTTGTCGTTTTTGTGAGTGTTCTTTACTACATCGAGGGTGCAAACCCGTCTGGATGGCTGCAAAAATGACATTCAAATTTCGCTGTAAAAATTGAAATTTTACTTTGGTTAATTTATCCCACACAATTTCGGTGGTACATACATACTTTAGAACTTTGCGATATTTTATTTGAAATATTGGGAAAAAGTGTTTGTTTAGAATTCTGAAAGAATAATTCTATGTTGGTTTGTCAACCCACCCGCTTGGGTGTTTTATGATTCCAATAGTTTGACTGTTTTATGAACACATATACATACAACAAACCGGCCGTCGGTCTTCTATGAAAAAAATGTAGTGTTATTAATGAAAATGGTTGATTTAGTGGCAAGGTAACCAGAAGTCGCCACATACTTTGTTCATTTCAACATTACCTACATTTGTATATCAGTCGCAATAATTGTATCGTAATTATGTCAATGTAAATTAATTTTGTGTGTTTCTGTGCTTGCTTGCAGATAAAAGATGAAAACGTTCAATATATCGGTCATCGGTCTCTCGGGGACTGAGAAGGACCGAGGACAAGTTGGTGTAGGCAAATCATGCTTATGTAACAGATTTATAAGGCCCATGGCCGATGACTACTTCATTGATCACATATCAGTTTTGAGTCAGGTAAGCGTCAATTCGAGCATTTGGTCAGATCGATAAGGTCGATTATACGATGAATCCGTTTCTCTTTTCTAGAGCGACTTCAGCGGGAGAGTTGTAAACAATGATCACTTTCTCTATTGGGGAGATGTACTCAAGGCGACCGATGAAGGCTCTGAATATTCCTTTCATATTATCGAACAGACGGAATTTATGGATGATTCCACATTTCAACCATTCAAGGTGGGCAAAATGGAGACCTACCTAAAGAGATGCACCAGCACAAAGGTATTTTCTGCGGAAAAACTTATGTATATTTGCAAGAATCAGCTGGGAATAGAAAAGGAGTATGAACAGAAAATTATGCCGGATGGAAGACTGGCAATAGATGGCTTCATTGTTACGTTTGATGTAAGCCCTGTGCCAAATCGAAATATAGAGAAACAAGTTGAATTTGTACAAAATGCAATTACTTTAATACTCAAAAACAAAAAGCCGTTGGTGCTTGTAACCACCAAAAACGATGATTCCTGTGATCTGTATGTGCGCGAAGCAGAAAAAATCTGCCAGCGTAAGGAGTACAAGGGCATGATACAGATGGTGGAGACGTCGGCCCACGAATCGATAAATACGGATCTTCCATTCCTGTTGCTGGCCCAAATGATTGACAAAGTGAAGAACCGCATTAAAATTATACCATATCAAGAAGCTGCCAGATCACGCAAGGAACTGCTCGAAAGCCGATCTGAAGCTGTTACACGACTAATTCGTAACCAAATAACAGATTATCATGTGCTTTGGACCCATGGCTCAAAAATGCTTGCTCAATTCCGTGAGTGGACAGAGTTTTTGAATATATTTGGTCATGATGCAGGACAAAAACTGTTCCGGAGGCATATGAAAAAGTTACGCGATGACTATATGAACCAGCGCTTACACCAATATTTGGATAAATTTGCCCGCACACTCGAGTATATGCTGCCGGACATAAACGCTCTTTCCACGAGCGACGATGATATATGGGAATGTGCCAAGAGCTACATGAGAAATCATGTCGAATTTGATCAATACTTTTTCGAATGTCCCCAGGCATCGTGGCAAGAATTGGTTGATATGGACGAAACTGAAGATGAAGCGCGTATACCCTTTGATGTGTTAGAAACATCTGAGGCCGAGACGGTATTTCGCAATTTTTTGAATTCGGTTCAACAGGACAAGAAGAAAATAGGGTAGGTATATTAATTTTGTCCATTTTCTCTTTTTTAACTATTGATCATGAACATTTCAGATGGAAACAACAATTCAAGATGCTATTGGAAGAATCGGGCTTTGTTACACCGGGCAAGCAATTATCGGAAGTTCGTGTACTATTTATGGGCCGCGAATGCTTTGAGGCTCTGTCGGAACATGACTGCCAACAAATATACGATATTCACCAAGACGAGATCATTGAAAAGAGTAAACAAAATTTCATCGAACTACTTTTGGAACATGCTCAGTTTTTTCAACAATTTAAAAACGTTGATATTATAACACAAGAAGATGTAAGGCAAATAACCGATATGCTTCAGGACGATTCTAGGTACTGTTTTGCAAAAAGAAAAAACTCAGAACTTCTTAATTGCTATGTTTTATAAATAGGTATAAAATAATGGATCGACTGGACCAGGAGAGACGTGTTATTCTATTTCAACATTTAGGATTTATGCATTGTCCCATACGTGATCATTGCCCATTTTATCACAGTTGCGTTGACAACTTCATTGAAGAGATATTGACGGACAAATCGGCTGGTAGCCACAAAACACTTGGCAGTGGTGGAAGTGGTAGTTGGAAATCTCAGGGATCTGACAAAACGCTAAATTTGTTAATTGTGGGATCCGAACACTTGGCCAGCGATTTACTTAACGACATACGCATGTGTACTGGTTCCAAAGGCGAATATATCTACGAAAATCAAACATATTATCTGAATTATCGCATAGCGAATGGTGATATGGAAGCATTTAAGGCCATTGATGTTTACTCGAGTGGTAAGCACAGAATTTTAAATCGGTCAAGAGCGATTAATCGAAATCACTTTCTTGTTACAGGTTTAATTTGTGTTTACTCAAATCTTCAGTCGTTTGAGACTCTTAAAGACAATTTAGAACGCACATTACTTTGCAATTTGGAACTGGAAGATAAATTTGAGAACCTTCCAATTGTACTGGTGTACCAGCCACATGACTTGAAAGAGAATGAAGTCGAATATTTGCGCAATGAAGGCTTGCGTTTGGCTGAAATGCTTCACTGTGATTTTATAGACCACCAGCAGAGCCATCAGAAATATGTCTATGAGATTTTGAATATTGTCATAGATTCGTTAAGAGTAGCCGAAATGAAAACCCTTGAAACATTTCCACCGAATCAAACTGATCTGCGCATATTGGTGTGCATGTTCTGTGGCGATCAGTATGATATTGAAAACATCATAAATCCATTGACAGATGAATCGACATTTTGCAAGGCACTTGAACATTCCGTTGTGGTGGACGTATTCATTGGAGACTCGAAAAAGAGAGTGGAATTTATATTATCATCATACCATGGAATAAATCAATATCGCGATGAATTGATACATGGATTTATATTTGTATACTCCACCAAGAGACGTTCTTCGCTGGCTAATCTAAGGTAGACTTCTATAAATATCTGTGCAATCTGTGCTGTTATACTTACTTAGTTTCTTTTATATTTTCAGCGTTCTGGTCTCGCAAAATGCAAATATACCACTGCAAATTATTGCTATAACGGAAAGCGGTGGTGCTAATGCATTTTTCAGTAGTGAACTGTGTCAATTTCTCATTACAGAAGGGAATTCTTTGGCTGATCGTTACAAAGCAAGCTTTATGACATTTTCATCAGATCAGTATGTTAAATGTAAGTATTTGTCATTAATATCCGTAGGATCTCCATAGTATTGAACGTATTGTGTTTTGGTGTTTGCAGTTGCTTTTTATAGTCCATTCTTGAAGAATGCTTGGGATAACAAGTATGACGTAGAAAATTTACACGTTGAAGAGTCAATTACTTTGGATTCCGGAGAGGGAACACTTGAAAATTCCGTCAAGTTGCCACGACCTCCACCGCGCCACGAAAGCTATATGCTGTCAAGTACCCTAGGTACAGATGGTTCCGGCAGTGAAAATTACGAAATGCTTCCTACACGTTCTCTGAACTCATTAAATGGTAAGTTTGTGCTAGGTATACAGTATTGCCTTTAGTAATGTATACATTCTTTACAGAAGAAAGAGACATATCTTTAGATGAAATCTATGAAGAAAGCAACGAAAAACCAAAAATGATCCATCAGAGTAAGTAGATGAGTCTGAACCATTTCATAAGAATTTGTTAGTTTAATTTTTCAATATTTGAAGATTTACCCCAAATCTTAATTTGTAGTTTTTACTGACATTTAAACATTCGTATTCACATTCAAAGAATTTGTCTGTGATATTGAATACCTCAAACTGACAAGGGAATAATTTTTATCTACTCTTTTTTGGAACTATCAAAATATTGCAATAAAAAGCTACAACTGAAAATTGTATCATTTTGTTAAAGAAATGTCGTTGTAGCTTGTTACATATGTAGAATATTTTCTGCTAACATCAATAATTTGAAAAATTATTCGTCTGGAAGATCAGAATAATGTAGTTATGCATTAATTGGTTTTCACGCCGTCATAATATATCATAGTGACTATAATTGATAATTTACTTAAAAGGTGCCACGACTCGACAGGATGATTTTAGAGATGTTAACATATCGGTCATTCAATCAAAGAGTCTCATGACTCAAAAAAGGTAACATTATAGAGCTCTTGATGCTAAATTATGTTCATATTAGTAGTTTATTTCCTTGAGTGATAATTTACTTGAAAGTTGCCACAACTCGACAGGATGATTTTAGAGCTGTTGAGGCCGATAACTCATCAACAAAGACGTAGAAGTATAAAGATGGGACAAGACAGAGCCAAGATATGACAACCCAGTAAAAATACCTCTGTTGTTATGATATCGTAACAACATAGTTAGCAATGTTATACGATTTAAACCGCTTAGGCAATATGCAATTTATTTGGAAAGTCTATGGAATAGATTTTTGAAACTCAATTTTTGGATTTTTCAAACTTTTGATTGTCATTTTTTTCTATAAATGTGTTTTTGATATTAACATTTTCCTGTCATGAACTGTTATATAGATAGTATTTAGGTCTTTGTCATCAAGCTATGTTTGACAGACAGATATTCAATTTAAAAGTAACTAGAAAATATGAAGAAAGAATTACATTTTCAATTAGAAGAGTTCACTGTTCGTTTTTAAAAAATCGCCAAATTTCTGCAGATATTACAAAGAGTCTTAAAAAGTGTTTCAACACTTTAAGGTAAGGAAAGGGAATTTTCAACTATTTTTACAATATATTCTTATGAAATGGTTACTCATGCATATTGGTATTAATAGCTTTTGTATTTGTTTTACGTCATCCAAAATTTGAGTTTTTTTTTCTTAAACCCTTCATCCAGAATGTTGGGTGTTTATTTTCATTTAACCGTAGTTTTTTTTACTTTATTTGTTTCCATTGTTATAATTAAACGCACACTATATCATACATACCACCATGTAGTAGTTATTAAACCTATAGATGATATTCAGGCATCTGAATTAAAATTTATAATCGTCTACGTATTAAATTAACTAATGTATGATTATCATAAAGGATTCCAGATATTTCCACCTCCAACAACTCCTCCAGAGCCAGCTCCTCCAGATCATCAGCTCATTACATGCTCATATAAGAGTCAATTTGTGTCAGCTTCCGAGTCTAGTTTGGAAGAAATAACATGTAATAACTCGTTATCATTCAATTAAATGATTTTTAGCAAAGTTTGTCACGTTATATAATTTGTTAATTTCTTTGTTCATTTCTATTTTTCAACTGAATAATTTTCATAAGCAGCGGATGTAAGCGGGTCAAAGGATTCATTGGCTACCCATGATGCAGGTTACTAAAACTTTCAATGCCATTCTATTCGTTATTTTTTTGTGTTTATCTACTCTTTGGTTGAATCCCATATCGCACGTTTCATAAGACCTTCCATATTCCCAATAAATAAAGTTTTTTTTTTTGTTTATATTTTCCTATTACTTTTATGTAATGCACCTCATTTAAATAGCACTAGACCCTCAAAATTTTGCAAAAAATAATGCTTTAATTTGAGAAACGTTACAAATGCATACTCGAAGAAATAGATTTTTTTTTCAAATTAGTGATGCGGAATATAATTTTGCAATATTAAGACAAAACATGGAAAACAAAAACATATAATGACCAGTCTTAACTAAAATTAAAATCTTCATAAACCAAACATTTACCACCGTTCTTATAAAATTATACTAAAAATCCAAGAAAACTGCACATAATCATGTGATTTTAAATTTCCAACAGTTTTTCCTCTTATATGAAGTTCTGCGTAAAAAATTGTTATTTAAACCATGGGTTTCTTTGTGTTTTAACAAACAACTACCGAAAAAGATGTTTCGAAATATAAAAGAAATCCACTCAATTTTGGGAAGAGAATAGGTTTTTTTGCATAGCCCATTCTCATAAAAATTTAGAGAAGTCGGACAAGAAAACAACTTAGCTTGAACAATTTAGCATGAATTTCAAACCAAAACTAGATATTATCAGCAAACTCTGTAGTCAGTAGTGCGATTCTCTTAACTAGTTAACGACAATTATTAATAACAATTGTTCAGTTTCTTAAAATTTCGGTATTTTTTTTCGAATTAGCGACTACCATGCTAAGGCCTGCCTATTGTTCACTTTTTTTCATTATATCCATGAAAATGTTGCTTGTGAAAGTTACAAATTTTTGTTGGTAATGACAAAAAAAAAGAAGCCGATAACGGGATGTAAGGAATGTGAGAGTGGAAGCCAATACAAGTAAAATATATGGTTGTTGTAAATATACTGTAGAGCTTTGACCCACCTGACATCCACATACCCGATAGGGACGCCTGGGCCCATAGCAATTCACCTTTCCGCGGCATTGTTATTTGTGGTTCTGGATGGAATGCGGAACGGGATATGCTGTCTTTTGTGACACTCCTAACGTTCGTGAATCCTACAAGCTTAGAAACGACTGTAGCGTGTTCCAGGCGGAAATCTTTGCGGTCATAAAAGTCATAGACCTATTGGTCACGAGAAACAACGTTGGAAATTAAATTAATTTTAGCCTGTATTTCTTGAATTCTATTTAAGGGGAATATGTGTAGTTTATAATCTTTTACAACCGAGGCTTACTTAAATGTAGGTCTGATAAGAGACGTAATTGCTTTGTTTAGTGTATTAATTCATCGAGATCTCGATCGACATAAATCTTCTGACTGAGCCGTATACTTGTGCTAAACTTGGTGTATGATACAACGTACCATCTCCAAAATTTAGAGGGACACGTTTAATATGTATAAACTTACTCGCAGATCATATATATACTTTCGAGATGTTACATACCAAATGACAAATATAATATACCCTTCCCCATTTTATAGTGGAGGTTATACAAATTTTAAAAAATTAACAGGCAACAATCGATTGTGACCTTTACCATCAAAAATATTATGGCATTGGAGTCACATCTATCAAGCAGAAGCAATTGTATCACTTCCACGGGGACCTGTATAGACAATCTTCTGGTAAGGATATTATAGTTATTACTTATTCCGACAACACGCTTTGAAAAAATTCTGTTCAAAAATGTGGATAAAATCACCAAATATCGACTATTGGGAGATACCGCTAAATAACGTTTATTCCACAACTTAGACCTATATAGACAAATCGTTGCACCTATATTTCTCGCATACTGCGAATACAAACTCCCAATTTAACTCCCAAAAAATTCGGTTATAATCTATAACCAGATACCAATGACATTTCAAATCGGTCGGTACTGTTGTATGGAGGCTATACCTAACCGTATGTACATTGTGAAGTGTAAAAAGCGTATTGCGAGAGGTTACAAACGGACTAACAAGCTTCGTATACCCTCTATAGTAAGATAGAAGAAACCAAAATCAGAAAATATGTATTAAATGCCGTAGAAGCTTAAAGCACGTTTCATATGAAACAACAATATTTTTACATTTGGGACGATGTGGGTCCGACAGTTTGCACAATAAATGTAAGCATTTGCATTTGCACCAAAATGGAACAGACAGTACGCCGTACCGAATAAATCTTAAAGAATAAAGAACAGGGCTTTTAATTAACCAATTTATTCTTTACACCACACGATTTAAATTCTGCCTAAAAATAAATGTATTGTCTAAAATAACATTAAGACCATCAGACTCATGCGTAGTATATTTTACTTGATCACACCTATGACTTCTCGTAAAGAAGTTAATGCTTCACTTCTATGAATAACCCTTGTTGCCGCGTATTTATCCAAACACACAACAAGTACTACATAACAAAGTCTACTTGATATTGGCAAAACGAGAATTACTTTAAAACGTTTGTAAATTCGTAAAAAGATAATGTAATTTATAAACAACGGGACTCATATCTTATCCTTGGGGAACTTCACTACACAGGATAAATTTAGACCAATAAAATTGGAGATGGGCTGGTATAAAGGCAATAAGTAAACATGTTTTAAACTGTTATGGAGCCCAAAAATTTGTGATCTTCATCTCCAAAGGAAACATTTTGTGAGGCTCATCTTGCAAAACGTTGGTTTGACCGAGTTCTTCTCAACTTGAATGATAGCTGATTCAGACCCCAGCCTTGCAAATTCGTCTGCAATCTCGTTGCCTGGAATATTGCAATGACCAAGAACCCAACAGAGCTTGATGGACGACCCAGTGTTTTTCAAGGATCTCCTGCATCCCAAAACACCCCTAGACTTAATGGTAGAGAAGTTCAAAGCTTTCAGTGCCGCTTGGCTATCGACGAGTATAAATCGTTGTTTCTTTAATGACCATTATGTGGAACACGGTGATATGAAATACAAGCCTGCAGGTTATTAATTTCATTCAAGAATCTCATTATGATTCATACCAAAGCCAATGGGGCATATGGCAACAGTGGTAAGATTTAAAAAAAATCTTACTAAAACTAAGAACATTTGGAAAAAAGTCATTTATATGAGTTATATTCTACTCAGTGCTAAATTTAATCTATGACAAGTTGCATTACATCGCTCATGTACTCATTTCATTTGCTAGCTTATTTTGAAAAAAATTTATATAGATTTTTTTGTTATTTTTGGTATGTTGTACATTTTTTGGCATATTATTTGTAAAAAATTTTGCTAAAAAAATTCAAAATAATACATATAGACGAGCGAGAGTTGTGCATGCAGTGTGTATAATGCCGGTGCAATTTCAAACAAAAGTTATGTTTTTTTTTGTTATTAGAATATATTTAAACTATCTTTTGTACATAAAGCGTTCGTTCTGGATGTAGGGTAGTTTTACATTGGAATGACAACGACGATAGTTTTTTTCTAATTTTTGTGTAACTTCAATTGAATTGAAACTCGAGGTAAATTAATTTTTTATTTGTGATTTTTTTTAGAATGGTTGGATGATAAAACTGATGCGCGGCGCAATGCCAACAAAAATTCAATTTGGAATAATTTTGGTGGCTCAACCCACGCATACACAACTGGTCGTAGACATATAGATTCTAATTTGAATAAAATTCGTCCAAAAGGTCCAAGTCAGACCCTAAAGGTAGGTAGTACATGGCATTCATAACATTATATACAATGCAATATCTTTGTAATTCTCTGTTTGTTTCGAACTAGCAACCCGGAAAATTAAATATGAAAAATTTTCAATTAGTTAGTGATGCAGTAGCAAAAATGAATTTTGGGGGCGATTCTTATTTGCCCATTTGTGAGAGTGGCGATAAGGACTCAAAGCGTTATACTCAATTTGATCATTCTCAGTTGGATGGAGACGAGGAGGACTCTGAAGAGTTGGCTGAGTATGAACAAATCTATGAAAATGAAGGTAGAATTAAACATGATAAACAGAACAAGAAACAAATTCTAATTTTCATCTTCATTTACAATCTAGACTGTACTGAATCGGATAGTTGTGCTAGTTCTATAGAGCGTAAAAATCGACAGCAAAATGCCTACTATAAGCAAATGAATAAGAAACCACCCGTCAATAAAAAGACAAAAAAGAAGAAGGTTGCTATACCGGTACAAACGCCACGCGTACCCACCATGTTTGGCTCGTACGTTAGCCCACCAGAAATACCATTGCATTACCAGAGAATGGTCACTGCCGAAAAAAGTGAGTCATAAACCCAACAATGTTTCCAGGACTTATTTAATATACTATTAAACTATTATTATATTTTTTAGAGAAAATTAGTGACCCTTCTTTGATAAACGATATGATAAAAACCGATAAATCTCCAGAGGTAAGCGCTTGTACATTAAGGCAAATTAAGACAAATGACCTAAAATTCCAAAATAAAAATTTTACAGTACACCATGGTGCCAGATAATCCAGGCCTCTTCGGTGCTCCAGAAAACCTAAATGAATATAATATGAATGCTAAATGTTTGAAAGAATTTGAGAAGTCGGAAAAGCGTCGCCTCAAAGAGGAAAATACGAGACTGCGAAAACTGCAGGAGAAGGAAAAGGAACAAGAAAAGAAACTTAAACGTAAACTAAAACAAAACTCCAAGGGTTTCCCCGATACAGAATCTCAATTTGAAAAACTTATGATCTCCGACAAGGTGGAAATTCCTATATTTTTAATAAAGTGCATAGAATATATTGAAAAGGAGGGCTTGGACTCGGAGGGTATCTATCGAGTGCCAGGAAGTCGTGCTCATGTAGATCTTTTGTTCCAAAAGTTTGAAGAAGGTATGAGGCGATCAAACAAACTCAATGATCAATTTAATTATCAACTTTTGTGTTCTTTTTATTTACACAGACTCCAATACAGTTATTGAACTTCTGGATATACCCGTAAATGCTGTAGCGACCGCACTAAAGGATTTTTTCTCTAAACGATTACCACCATTATTTAGTAAGGATATAATAAAAGAACTGGAAGAAGTTGCAGGTATGTATAAGATAAACGTCAGTAACTTATTAGTATCTGTCAAAAATGTATGTTGTTTTTTTGGTGTGTCGGGATCTGTGGCGCCCAGTCGGTTCATTTTTTATTACTTTCTGTATTACTTTCTATAACATTGTGTAATTTTTCAACAATTACAGCAGATTATGAAAGTAGAGTTAAAAATAGAAGACTTGTATCCGCGTTATGAAAGTTTAGATCGCAAAGTAGCCTTAAAAGAAAATTTCAGACTAAGATTCCATGGAAAATGTTGATTTTAGGTACATAGTGTCTTTGGCAGTATTGCATAAAAACAAGGATTATTTTGCTATAAGAATCTTCTTCTTCTATATATATAAAAATCAATTGTTCGTTGGTAATGGAATCAGTTGAGGCTAGACCGATTTGCATAATTTTTTGTAGGAGCATTCTTCATACCCCGAGTTAGGTTTTTAAAGAAAAAAAATATTGACCACGCCTACTTTTACGCCCACTATTTCCTATCTGAAATCCTTATATTTTTCAAAATAATGAAGATATCGGTTTGAAAATTATTACACGAGATACTGTTGACTTTCCCTCCAACCCTAGGGATTTATTTGGTGGCTGAGGAACTGACCACGCATACTTCTATCTATCTATATATAAAAGAAAGTTGTGTTAGTTACCACGCTTATAACTCAAGAACCGCTGATCTGATTTTAACGATTCACACAAATTCGGAATTGTCTCCTGCAAAAACCATTGCAAAAACTCTAAAATCGGGAAAAAATACAGAACATTTTTTCACTGAAATCAATTTGTTTATTAGTTACTATGTTTATAACTCAAGAACGTTTTGATGGATTTTCACAATTCATACAATTTCGGAATGGAATCTTGGCAAAAAAAAAAAACAAAAAAAAAAAAATGCGTAAAATATGTCAATAAAAAAATAAAAGAAAGAATTCTTTTGGCGTGAAATTTTTTCAATTTTTAAACTATATAGAAGTGTACATTTTTTATTGTTTTGAATTCTAAATTAATAATATCAAAAATGAAATAGTACGCAATACGACGTTAAATGGCGATCTTTCTTGTCTGAAATTGGCATTTACTTTTCAACTCCAGGTCATGATATGGGTCATAACCCCCGGATAAGGGTACAACTCGATTTCAAGTATATCTTACATTTTAACCATATTTTCATACTAATTTCGGCAAATGTTGGTAATTTGGGAAGAAACCATTCTTGCAAAAACTGATCACATTTTGTGTAACCATCACATGATTTAATAAACCGGACAATTCTTTAATCGTATAATTCAATACTATGATAAAAGATATGGACATTATGGAGACCCCATAATTTCAATGACAAAACAATAAATTCCCATTATACTTTAAAATTTTATAATTACAATGATTCGCCACACGAACTGGAAACTGGGATTTTCAGAGAAATTCGTGAAAAAATGTGGCAAAAATAACCAAAATACCGAATATCGGGAGGTACCTTTATATGGGGGCTATACCAAAGCGTGGACCAATATATCTCATTTTCAATACCAACCATCCTAGACATAATACAAATTGCTCTGCTAAATTTTGGCGCTCTACGTCAAATAATGTGGGCTGTATCGTGATTTCAACAGACAGACAGACATCGTTAAATCGACTTAGAATTTTATGTTGATTATGAATATATATACTTTATGGGGTCTACGACGTATATTTAAGGATGTTACAAACGGAATGACAAAGTTAATATACCCTCCTTTCCAAGGTGGAGGGTATAAAAATTAAGTTCGGCCGGGCAGAACTTTTAATATCATCCAACTTAGGATAAAGAAAACATTTTTATATAAAAGTATCTGAATTCAAGCGTGCTTCACTTTAAAATTTATATACCAGTAAGACTTTTTGGATAATGCAGTTAAACTTGTCAAAAAACCATAAAGTGAATGAGGCCGTTGTATGGGGCCATACCAAAACGGGAACCTTTGTGGACAAATTTATACTTCAAGGATTGTCATCTATCAAACCTCTTAAAATACCAAATTTGAAACAATTATGTGGGTAAATGTGACTAGGATTATCAATATACCCAATATCGGTAGGTAGAAATGTGGCAAAAATCATCAAAATACCTAATTTCGAGAGGTACCGTTATATGGGGACTATACCAAAACGTGCACCGATAGATCATTTTCAATACCAACCATCCTATACACAATACAAATTGTTTTGCTAAATTTTGACGCTCTACGTCAAATAATGTGGGTTGTATCGTAATTTAAACAAACAGACATACAGGCGGACAGATCGATTTAGAATTTTATGCTGATTATGAATATGTATATTTTAGGGGTCTATGACGAACATTTAGAAATGTTACAAACGGAATAAAAAAGTTAATATACCCTCGTTTCCAAGGTGGAGGATATAAAAAGCATTAAAGACTAAAAATTACGGGCCGGCAACGCGGACCGGGCCAGGTAGTAATGTTATATTTGAGTGTAGACAACTTTCCGATACAAGTATGGTGTGTGTTAATTTTTTAGTGGATTTGTTGGTATTCATTTAAAACAGCAAAACTTCAAAAGGGGTTTTAATCCCCAGATTAATTTTTATTTTCAATTTTATGATCTTTTTAAATATACGTTTGTATTGGATCACTACCTGTCGGAAGGTTTTCTGTCCATGAAGTAACAAAAATACTGTTTTTCAATTAAATCGATTGGAATATATAAGGGCTGTACCAAAAGTTTGGCTAAAATATACAGAAAACATGGCCAAAAGTTTAAAAAAAAATTAATTAGAAATTATCCTTACATGGGGCGATTGCAAAAAGATCTCTTACATTTCAAAGATCTATCCAATATTTTGCGTAATGCGGCTGCGAATGTTTGTCAAAACTATATAAGAGCCTTAACAACGTTTGGCCTAAGAACTCGAAACCTCTTCGGGGCTTTGATGTACCGAATCCGAAATAAGCAATGTTTCTTATTTACAAAAATTGATCATATTTTTTTATGGTTCATATTGAATATACACATTTCTTTTGTTAAGAGACTCACAATTAAAGTTGAACTGGAATAGGAAACTTGATGCAAATATTTTTTTAATAAGCATTGGAAAAATATAATTCTTTTCCTTGGTGGCTTACAGATTTTTAAATCAACGGATTCCAAAAAATCTTAATCCAAAAATTTCAGAAATAGTGGGAACCCTCTCTCGTCGTTAATTGTCTGTCGATTAAATGTTCAAAAATAATAATGCAATGACAATTTGACTCATTATAAAAAGTGTGTTCCCGTACGAACAAACTTTGCAGAGTTCTTGGACAGAGCAATTATTTTTTGTATGGTTTGTCCGCTACCAATAATATGAATAAAAACTTTAAGAGTTTTTCAAGACACTGACTTTTATCACAAGAAACTCGAGCATAAGTTGTGTCACTGTTTATGGTTGCAATGTCCCGAAATGTACCACACTTTCTTTTTCCATTTTAACTGTGATAAAATCTACACTTATCTTACAAACATTTTTTTATTTCCGTTTCGTTATAGGTTCTCGCACTGTGTGTGGTTCGAAAGTTAATGTTGAAGTTAAAACCGATCGAAGTTGTCGTTTAATGGCTTTAAAGACGCTGCTGGAAAAACTACCACCCGTAAACTTTGCAATTTTGAAATACATATTTCAACATTTCGTCCAGTAAGTTTTGAGAAAGAAGTGTTCTGAAACATGTATTAACTCTCGATTAATTTAATTTTTGCAGTGTTTCCGATAATTCCAAACTCAACAGCATGGATAGTAAGAATCTGGCCATATGTTGGTGGCCAACATTGATTCCTATAGACTTTACGGATATGGGTCACTTTGAGCAGTTGCGTCCCTACTTAGAAGATATTGTACAAACAATGATAGATCAATATCCATATCTATTTTGTGGCGAAGATGCATTTGTCATGGTATAAATCATCAGTATTTCCTTTCGATTTTTTCTTTTTTTCGGTTATTATATATGTACGTGTGTTTGTGTGTTATATTAAGTTGTGAAACAACAACAATGGAATTATGAGAAAAATAGCAAAGAGGAAAATACTTTTTATAGTATAAATAATTTGAATACCAGAAAAGAACCGCAAACAATGCTTGTCTTTTTGAAGAAAGAACGAACATGTGTACTGCGTTTTTGAGAGCGTGTAAATCATTGTTTTAGTTGATAGTTGATTTTTTAAATTATTAAAATATAAATATATATTTCATTAGTTAATTGTATGTATATTAATGTATCTGTGTGTATGTGAGTGCAAATTTAGTTATAGTAAACAGAAGTGAGATTAAATACAACACCCGCATCCCAAAATCAGTAAATTAATATACGAAAACGATTTGAAAAAAAACCTGTTGCTTACAACTTTCATTGGCAAAACAAAAATAAGAAGTAAAACAACAACAATACATTATGACAGCAGATTGAAAACATAGATAGAAACAAACGAAGCCAATATCAACAATATTTAAGAAAAAAAAAACAATCAATTTTATCAAATGTGTGTTAATTACGAACTGCCTAAGTTTGAATTAGCTATGTGCCAGCCTATAAAACCCGTTATCAATAAATCCAATAAATGTGCTTATTTACTGAATAGCTTGTTATGTAACATTGTCAATTTTTATACCTAATTTTGTCCCATGAAAAGAGCTAATTTGAAACTATATTATACTTAAAACATTTTTCCAAAGTTTGTATAAATTTCGATTGTGCCGAAAGTCATTTTTCGCGAGTCTAAAGTATAAACGTACATATCTTCTTAAATCAATGCACATAATCCATAATACCAATCAAGAAATCAAAAAAAAAAAAAAAAACGAAAAAAGCGAAATAATTCACCTAATAGTTGAGCTCCTTATTCCACTACACCGTTGACAGTTTTAGTTATGAACATATTTGTGATGAAGTTACTGTTTTGATTCTAATTATACTCTAATCTCCATTTTCTCATGTCTCCCTTTTTCTCTCGTTCAAAACATCTCTATCTGCAATGTTAACTCACTCTACTCGATATCGAAATTAGAAAATACTTCTTGAATGTTATGTTGATTTTATAAAGCTTAAAACGCTATTTATAACGAAGTTTTACAAACTTTGTGAATAAAAGAGAGTTTCTGGTTATATAGAAGTCGTTAGATACAGACAATTTCTCTGCTACTAATTATGGTGAAAATCATTCAAAAAGGCATTACCATTTGCATTTATAAAGAGACTTTCCATGGAGTATTCATAGTAGGTTTTTGCATATAGCAAATGTAAATATATCGAAATATGTATGCCTGTTTTAGATTAGTTTAACAGTAAATGTTCGCTGATTTACCCTAACCCCGTAGGAGTATTGTCATAAACTCAAAAAGTATTTTCATTTTCTATAAGGTATTCAATCAACGTTTTTGTTTTCTAAACAGGTTCAAAAATATTAAATTGCTATAGGTTTAAGAGTGTAATAAATAAAACAAAACGATTACGGAGGAGAAAAACAAAACCAACATATTATTGTAATAGGTAGATGTTATTACTAACAAGCTAACAAAGCCGTAAAAAAGAAAAGTAAGAATACAAATGTATTAACAACTGATTGCATTATTTATATAAATTTCTCTATATGTGTAATGTGTCTAAACGCACCTTAATCTTCCTGATTTAATTAATAATAATTGTATTAATTAATAATGATAGTAAGTAACAAAACAAAACAAAACAAAACAAAAAAAAATATATATGAAAAGAACAAATGAAGAACTAGGTATTACAAAATAATGAGATATTTTATAAAATGAAATGATGAAAACAACAAAAACATTTTAGTGTAATTTGTATGTATAATGTCTGTGTCTATGTGTCTATTGCATAAACAAACAATTATTAAATAACTAATATTAATTAAAAAATATATATATTTACTACCGATTAACGTGATGTGGTGTATTGATATTTTTAAAACCGAACACGAAAAAATACAACAAAACAAAATATGAAAAAAAAAACAAATTGATATTAACGGTCATTTCAGCTAAATAAATATACCAACCACATACGCTTGCAGGCGTACTCATATATACATGTGTACATGTGTTTGCAGTGCTGTGTGTGTTTGTGTGTAAAAGACGAAATAGGCCGTCATATTTAATGAGAAAATCAAGAAAAGTAATGAAATAAAATAATTTTGAAATAACTGTGCAAAATTAGGTCTTTTAGTCGTTATTTAAAAAGGAGGGTTTTTGTGTGTTGTACTTCTGCAAAACAGGAGCAGAACACTGCGAAGCCGCCGTATCAAGTTCTTTCACCTTTAGATGCTCCGGCCAAACCCAGTCAAGGAACTTGCAAAGGGGACTGTCATAAGAATCCCTCGACCGAGGGCGACGAGTTTAGCCCCAAAGCCGAAAAGGGGAGCACGGCCGCGAAATCGACTGATAAGTCTGGTGTTTCTGAGAAGAAATCTCTGACCCGACAGAAGTGGAAGCGGTCCGAGGAAACGGGTAAGAAGCTGCCATCTTATGCCAAAACAGCCAAAAAAAAACATTATAGGGACGAAATGCACTACGCATTGATCGATACCGATACCAAAGATGATCTGGAAATCAAAGAAGAAATGATCAACAATAAAATTTTTGATCACATAATGGAAAGCGGTGGTCCACTTTCCATCATGAGTAGAGGCATAAAGGGCGATAAAATGTTTTGAATCTTGCTACCCATGCACGTATGCTCGAAGTCTTTGATAGACAGAACAATACCTTGGACATGAAGAAATTGTAAGTCTTCCACAGGGAGGAGAAGGAGGATGACACACTCCTTGTGATTGGAGTTGACGATCTCTCCATGACCAGTCTGTCAAAGACTAAGGACGTTGCTTTTTATGTCTCGAAAGCGGTCAGCCTAGACGAGGATGTCAAAAGAGACAGTGAGGTGGTGAAAGAGGAGCCCCAAGCAACACAAAACAGGGAATCGAAAAAGACATCACATTTTTTTTTAATTTTATTGAATGAAAGCAAAATCCGGAGATTTTGGTAGTCATTGTGCGCTGGAAATGAAGCGAGGAACCTCCTTTGTTAAACATTCTTGGGTGGCGCGTGCTGGGTGCGATGGTGCTGAGTCCTGTTGGTATGTTCAAGGTCTGTGGCAAAATGTTTGCGTGCCTAAGGCTTTAATACACCCTCCAGAATTTTTCGCGATAATATTCAGCATTTATTTTGACGCCACGGTCGATTAATACGAGCGAAGAGCAACCATCGGCCCAAACCATCACCATGGCCGGCGCTTGAGTTCTGGTGGTCAACCGAAGGCCAGTATCACGGTAACGAGCGATGGTACGAGACACAAAAGATTAATTCACATTTAAATGCTGGAGTGCTCTAACGATAGCCGCTTGTGTTTTTCCAGCCAAATATAAGGAAATCACAATATCACGCTTGAATCACAAATAACTTTTTTTCTGGAAAATTCTCACCAAAATGCTTTTGTACGCTTGTAAACAATATAATGAGCTGTTACTGGAATAATTTTAACAGCTGTCGGAAGTTGGTTGCAGTTTTTTCATCTCTAATAATTCTTAATAATAGGATAAAGCAACCTTGCAAATAAAATTAGGGAGGAGGTTTTTGACATTACTTATTGCTCAGAATATCTCCTATAAGGGATTCAAAATTTGGAGGATTTCGGATGAACATTCCTTATCGGATCATTGGTATAGAAGATTTGAACAAACACGCCCGCAGCAGATTTCTCCTTCGAGAGAGCAAATGATTGGGGAAATTCGTGGCAAAGGAAAAGAAGTCCGAAGGCTTTACACTAGCAGTATCATAAAAAATAAAACAAAATAGTAAGAACAAGAAAACGCAACTCCATGGAAGTTTTCTGCAAACAGGTTGATAGCTTAAATGATGGATCAAAAATAAAAAAGTTTCTTTCTAAAACTCATGCACAAGCCGAGACAATTGTGGATGATATGGGTAATAAAATGGAAACAATAGAAGAGACCCTAGAGCTTTTGATAGACATACAGTTCCCTCCGAGCATCACGACACACGTAGATATATCGGATGATAGAAGAAATGCGATGAATCGATGGTAAAGGATGCGATCAAAAGTTTTAAGCCGTTTAAGGCAGCGGGACCAGATATGGTCTTCCCGGTTCTGCTGCAAAAGGAAGTGACTACATTTCGTCCAACTTAGCCGGTATTTTCAACGGGTGCCTAAAATTTGCGTGTACCCCAAAATCCTGGCAGGAGGCGCGGGTAGTTTTTATACCCAAACCTGGTAAGGCGAGTTACGCAATATTTACGTCCTACCCAAGGTACAAAAAGGTAAGGTACAGCCACCAGCTGATTACAATTTTTTCTCCCAATTTTGTGCGTGCATTCATTGTTTTGAAAAAGGAAAACAAAATATTTTCAAAATCACTGACTGGGGCGCGCATTAGAGCTATTAATAAGTTGTGACTTGGAGTTGAGGGATTGAGCAGTTTAATTCACATTTTGGAAAGAAACCCAAATATTTCTTAAATATATCGCGCTATTTCACCCATTTTAAAAATATGTAATAATATTAAATAAATGAAAAACAACTTGTTGCATAAAGTTTTGAATGATTCTGACAGAAAGCGGGCATAGCGTCTGGGCTGTACTACTGTAGTTTTACGAAGCTGTTCAATCTCCTTATTGTACCATGGTCCTACCGACCGATACCATGATTAAGCGCAGGATTGCAAACGATATGCTTGAATATAATATAATAAATAAAATATAATTAATGTTAACAGCATGGGTACGTCAAAGGACGTTCAGTGGAAACCGCATTACATGAGGTTGTATACCACATCGAGAGCACCTTCGATAAAAAGAAGTATGCACTGGCAGTATGCATTGATATCGAAGGCACTTTCAATAAGGTCACAGATACACTCATCCAATCCTTTGACAATTTCTAGGTTGATCGGGCTCTCAAGGATTGGATAAACCATATGCTAAGGAATCAATGGATAAGTTGTGGGCTATATGACGTTAACATAAGGGACAAAGTTGGTCAAGGAACGCCACAGGGAGGGGTTTTATGGCCTCTCCATTAACAGTCTTTTAAGGACTTTAACCAACAAAGGATCTGAACCAGTCTGCTATGCAGATGACGTTATAATCGGCCCGATTACGGTTGTCGTTGACGATATGTGAAAGTCGCCATCGCCGTCGCTTCGATTCAAAAATTGTATTACGGTAAGGCATAGAAGCTACATCGACGGTTTAAAAAAAAAAGTTGGAACACTTCTTTGTTGTTCACAAAATCCGAATTTTTTATGAAACACCCAAAAAAGTCGGAAAAGGGCACATTATGGGGGCCAAATTATAGCTGACACTCTAACCTTTCCAAAATGCTACAATTTGTGCTAATACCTTTTCTGGGTCCAGAGATATTCTCTTCTGGATATGTTCAACCTGCTACGCGAACTAGTTTTCTATATTTAACAGTTGTTGTAAGTAGCCGGCCTTCGGCCCCATCATTTGACCACTTGTTTGTTGGATAGGTATTTTCATAAGCAAACGATACCTATATTGCCTATATCGGGTAAGTGGGTCTGGGTCTATCCCGGGTCTTGAACCCGGGCATTCGAGTCAAAAATCTGGGGAATTAAAGTCTCAGGTCGGCGGACGAGTGGATAAATAAAGACCACGTGACATGCCATCAAAAATACACCCCGCATTTTTGCGTAGTAGTACCTTCCATACAACCGGGTGTAATCAACTAATTTTTATATCCTCCACCATAATATAGAGGGTATATTCATTTTGTCATTTCGTTCGTAACTCCTCGAAATACTCATGTCAGACCCAACAAAGTATATATATTCTTGATCAGCGTAAAATTCTAAGGCGATTTAGCCATGTCAGTCTGTCTATCTGTCTGTCATAATCACGCTATCTTGCGAACCAATTGATATAGACGGCTAAAATTGTGCACATATGTTTATTTTGTCAGTAGGCAGATTAAGTTCGTAAATGGGCTATGTAGGTCCAAGTTTTCATATAGCCCCCATATAACGGTACCTCCCGATATTCGGTATTTTGATTATTTAAGCGACATTATTTACCGGAATTGTTTCAAATTTGGCATTTGAAGTTCGAAATGAATACTACAGCCTAAGACAGAAAATTGTGTGTGCAGGTCCACGTCTTCGTATAGTCCCCATATAACGGTACCTCCCTATATTCGGTATTTTGATGATTTTAGCAACATCATTCGCCGGAATTGTTTCAAATTTGGTATTTGAAGTTCGAAATGGATACAACAGCCTAAGACAGAAAATTGTGTGTGCCGGGCCACGTCTTCGTATAGCCCCCATATAACGGTACCTCCCTCCCTATATTCGGTATTCTTATGATTTCAGCGATATTATTCACCGGAATTGTTTCAAATTTGGCATTTGAAGTTCGAAATGAATACTACAGCCTAAGACAGAAAATTGTGTGTGCAGGTCCACGTCTTCGTATAGCCCCCATATAACGGTACCTCCCAATATTGGGTATTTTGATGATTTTAGCGTCATTATTCACCGTAGTAGTTTCAAATTACGCATTTAGAGTTCGTAATGGGAACTACAGTCTGTGACAGAAAATTGTCTATGCAGGTCCACGTCTTCGTATAGGCCCCATATATCAGTACCTCCCTATATTCGGTATTTTAAGGATTTTAGACACAATACTCACCGAAATTGTTTGAGATGTCGTATTTGAAGTTAGTAATAGAAGCTACAGCATGTGACAGAAAATTATCTATGCAGGTCCAGGTCTTCGTATAGCTCCGATATAACGGTACCTCCCTATGTACGGTAATTTGATGATTTTAGCTACATCATTCACTGTTTATTTCAAGTTTCGAATTTTAATATGGTAATGGCTTATGATAATAGTAGTTCGTAGATCATCCACATTTACAAATGAAACAAACCAAGTGTTTGACAACATAAAAATGTAATCCAATGACACATGCTTAGTCATTCTCATTCGGTTATGCTTAACAGAAATTGGATTAGTTAAAACCATGATTTGTTTATGAAATTATCCCATGCACTATGGAGTTGCGGTGATTCAAAGCCGGTCTCTGATTGAAACGTATAAATCCAATTAACAACTATTCTCAACACGGCTCAGAGTTAAAGACATGGGCAAAAACGGCCATTTATTCGTATGAAACA